TTTTCCAGCCAATTCTCGGTCCCCGTTCAATCCTTCCGGGCGTCCCATTTACATTCTTTCGGCTAACGCGAAGATACCACCGCGGTTAAACCCACTTCACCTCGCCTTACCTTGCCTTGCCTTGCCTTTGCACCAACGGGGAAAGACTTAGATTTCGGATTTCCGTATCGAACGACCTGAACCCTCTCCCTCTTCGTCTCTTCAACTATCCCCTCCTGCCCACACTGTACTGTACTTCGCTGCCATCCATTAGGCTTCTGTACTTGCAATTGGTCCAGGACGACACTCCTTACTCGTTACTTACCTTTCGCTACTTCAACACATTCCTTATATTACCACACCGTCCCGACTATCGAGTCCGCGGACTGCCGATCCACGATACACCACCTCTCGAGCACTAGCACAGTCTCTGAGATACCCACTGGTCATTCCATAAGTCGCGAATCAAAAAGAAAAGAGGACAGACGCGCACCCGCACTACCGGCTCGGTTGTCTCCAGAAGCGAACACCGACAGTCATCTCAAGAAAATAATTCTGACCTCACCTGGCACCACCACACGGCTCTTGCATCACGAGTCTTCACCAGCCCGAAATGGCCACAAAGGTTGAAGATTCGGGCATGTCAGGCCCAGGTTCTGCCACCTCGACCGTTCAGCTGGATTCGGCCAACTCGCCAGCTACAGTCCCTACTCCAGTCTCAGCCGGCAACATGGCACAGACACCATCACCTTCTACCTCTAATTCACAACATGCCGGCTCCACATCAAAACGCCCGCCTCGCAAGAGCACCCTGACGCAGCAGCAGAAGAACCAGAAGCGGCAGCGAGCAACGCAGGACCAGCTGACGACGCTGGAGATGGAATTCAACAAGAACCCCACCCCCACGGCGAATGTCCGGGAACGAATCGCCGAGGAGATCAACATGACCGAGCGCTCTGTCCAGATTTGGTTCCAGAACAGGTATGCGCTTGTTCTACATCTCTCGCTCGGATGCGACTAACAAGTAATCCAGGCGTGCCAAGATCAAGGCTCTGGCGAAGAAGAGCCTGGAGACAGGCGAAGACTTCGACGCGATACCAGAGTCCATGCGCACCTACCTGGCTATGCAGGCCATGGAGTCTGGCAAGGGCCTCGGGGCAGGTTTCCTGGGACGCGGTTTGATGCCTTATGGCCATAGCGGTATGCTCCTGGGCGGAGAACAGGGTGGCCAGGGCAAAGTCTGTGAGTACAGCCAATACATCGACCGCCCCCTTCAAGCTTTATGGTTATCTAACGATTAGTCGCGGAAGTGATCCACCACTTGACTTGCCGCTCCCTCAGCATTGGCAAATGGACTCGGGTCGGCCAAAACACCATGGACCTGATCATCTTCTACTCGCCTGACAAGTGCACGATGACCTACTACATCAACAACGAGCAGGCCGGGTACAAGATTGAGTACCCCTTCGCTCACATCAAGTCGATTTATCTCGAGAACAGCGAGGGCGACCCCAACAAGCTTGGTGGCATTGTCATTGAGTTGAACAGGCCACCGAACTTCTTCATGGACTCGTCCCCCACAACCAACGGCTTCTTCCAATGTGGCGACTTCACTGAGGACCAGCAAGCTTCACAGTGCATGGTTCACCACCTAGGTGGCAACCCCAAGGTGCTCAGTGGCCAGCTCGCGAAGCTCGTGTCTCTGGAGTCCTTCATGAACCGTCATCAGACCAACCCTTACGAAGCCATGCATGCCATTTCGATGTCGGCCCCAGTCTCGCCAACGAACCGGCCGTCCTCACAACCAAGCTTCGGCCAGCCTCATGTCGGCATGTACCAGGAGACGCAATGGGGTGCCCCACCCACACTGCACCCTGGTATGGCTCGTGGTCACAAGCGGCAACGCAGCAGGTCGGTGCCGATGCCTGTTGACTTCGCTATGCTCCAGACTCCCATGCCGTCATTCTTCATCCAACATCCTGGCGAGAATCAGGCGCAACCGCACAGTCCCAACATCTTTGCTCCTGTTCCCCAACAGCCCAGCGGGATGGGACCCAATCTGCGCATCGATACACAGGCCGGCTTTGGACTGGATATGCGGCAGTATCCCATGTCTGCAACTACCGCGCCAAGTGCGGCGTCTCCTTCAGACTACTCTAGCCCCAACTACTTTGCTCAGCATTCCGAGAGCACACCGATGCCGACATCGAGCTACAATACGCCTTACAGCGGCACCTTCCTCTCGCCCATGGTCAACAACTCCAGCCTCGTGCCACAGTCCATGTCTCCCCTTTCGTTTACGAGCCATGGTGACCCAGCTATTGTCGATCAGTCGCCACCAATGTCGATGGTTGGTAGACCTGGGTCGGCGGATCTGTATCCAGTACACGAGTCCGCCATGTCCGACGATGGCGCGAGCCTAAACGAGATGTATTCGAAGCACAGCATAAACCTGCCCATGCACCCGCCGCACTCACCAGCCTTTGTGGAGACATCTCAGGCAGATTTGGACATGAACCAGCTGGTGTCCTTCGACCACGTTGAGCCTGCGAGCCTGTCACCAGAAAGCATGCAGCACATGCCCGTCAACGAATCATGATCGAAAAGCTGGTCTGTTGCCGATTCCAGCACCTGTCGGCCGGGTCTGGTCTGCCCGACAACGATGTTGTGATCCAGGCAGGAATTGTCGTATATACCCAGGGATTTGCGTTTCGCCGCAGGGGGAGGGGGGCGTTGGCGCCGTCTGTATGACCGGCGTTCAGGTGATATTGTCCCACATAAACCTGGCTTTTGTTGTTCGCATCTGATTGCGCCACAATGCCCATTGCTACATCTTGTCTGCACTTTATGTTCATTTGCACCACCATTCAAGACTCTGTTCTCGTTTTATCCTTGACTCTGCGATCTGCATGACGATACCTACCTTTGGTTGTCGATCATGTGTGTCTGGCACCGCGATCTGCTCTTTTCTCCGCGACTGCCGGTCAAACTTGACTCGCTCGCCTCGCAAACGGGGCGAGCGACAAGGACTGACCGGCCGCCCCGAATCCATTATTATGGGTTCAGAGGCACCTAATAGCTATTGTCGAGTACATGCGGAAGACACTGCGTCTGTCTTTCCGGGTTGTTGATCTTACCTTCCTCTTTCACCGCAACACAGGTCTGCAGGAAGGGACAATTTCTGGGGTGGAGGAGGGGCCCAGGAGGCTAATTACTATTACCGCGATGGATGGTTCAAGGCACAAGCAACAACAGCGGCACAATGCCACCAACCTGTGGTACACCTTTTTCGAGAGGTGAGGTTGGATAATCTCTGGGAGATGGTTTGGAGGCCCTTTTTCTGTTATGGATCATGTACTTGGGCTCGTGTCTTGGAAAAGTCATCGGCCCATGCTCGTTCCGTCTCCTTTCTCTTCCATCATGGACAATAGGGACGGCTGGACGGACGTGATTTTGAATTTTCTTCTTGGAAATAGGGTGGGTTGCACGGGCCAAGGCGTTCTTGGCTGGAATGGAAACATGATTTTGAAAACAAAGCCTGAAGCGATCATTTGGTGAACTCGTTGACATGTCAAGTGAAAACCGATTGCTGATGTGACGTGGGATGGCCACACAAATCTCCACGCGGCTACGCTAAGAAAGAATCGCACAGGTTTTGGAGAAAGGAAAAAGTCGTCAGCCTCGCGGCGAGGTCGCATGTAGTAGACGGACAGGCGCGGTCACGGGCGGCATACTAGACTGCTGTGCACAGGAGAGCCTCGTATTTCGAGGGCGGTAAGCTTACCTCGAAGGGGCGGGGAGGCAGGGAAGCAGGGAGTTGGGATTATGGGCCGTGGCGCCGACGCCCCATATGACGCCCCATGTGTAGAGCGTCACCGTCCTTCTCGAAGCATAAACCTGGTTGGGGAAGCGCTATAGTGGCAGTCTGTCAGTCTTAGAAGTGCGAGGCCCACACCGGGGCTTCCTGCCGGCGCCTGCGAACACTGCCGCCAATGCAGCGGGCTGGGGATCCCCAAGTTCTGGCCAGGTACGAAGGCATGCAAGCCCTCGGGGATGTTGCACATACTAAGTACAGTAGAACGAGACAGATACTTTCATAGGGGATCGTCATCCCATACCTACCTAGTCAGGACAAAGCTAAGAAGTCTTTGTCTATCTCACCCGGGAAGGCTGGCCAAGCAAGTCTGACGTCGTTGGATTCACTCTCAGCCAGGGAGACGGCCACTCGCAGGCAGACCAAGACAGATGGGCAAGTCGTCAGCCCACTTACTCAGTGTCCCGTATACGACGACTACCGAGTGGGGCCCAATGGGTGCCGACCACTCCGAATCTTTTCAAGGATGGAAGGATCCGGGGCAGTTCGGACGATACTATGCTGCTACTACTAGTACCTGAGTACATGTAACGTGCCGATTGAACCATCGCAGCAGCACACGGGGGTCTTTCAATGTCAGGTTTCCAGGCAAGATTTTCCCGTGCACGACTTGCGCTGCAGTCAATCAACGTTAGGCCAGGTTCACGCGCCGTCTCATCCCCAGTCACTTTGAGGAGTGAGGTTGGAGGTCATGGTCAATTGTCGATTTCAATTGAACCAATGATTTATTGAAAGCATGTGTGTGTGTGGTTTCTGTGCCGTGTTCTGTACCTTCCAAGCCGTAGGATCATTGGGCCGAGCGTACCAGGAGCAGGCGGGCTGCGCTGACATTCGTTGATCAATCGCCGCGTCGGCTGGGCTGAGCCCGTCTTGGAACGTCACCTGCTTGGCTTGTACTGGACTAATTAGGCTCAAGCCCGCGCTCCCGAGCAACCAAGGTGTTCGGCAGCACCCCTCGCTCTTCACCTTCAACAACGTCCATCGCTCTGTTCTTGCTGCAGAAACACGCCGTTCTCAGAATTCATCCGAGTCTTTTGGACGGCGGAGACTTCCAGGCTCCAGATGAGCCTGTGGCTTTCTGGTATCCGGCCGGGAGGGGATTCTTCAAAGTCCTGATGACCCCACCGAGAGTCACCATCCTCTCATCATGGCGGGTGGCAGCTCAGACCGGCGCAGCTCAAGCATAGACGTACTGCGCTCCGAGCTGGACAACATCCAAGAAGCAGAAATACTGGTCCAACCCCGGCCGAGCCTCACAGGCGACTCGACCCCAGCTGAGGGGGACACAGCACACACTGGAGGAAGAACCGCTTCAGCACGAAGGTCAAATAGCAGCACACGCAGAAGTGAATCTGGGGCACACATCAGGTTCTCAGATGATGCAGGCCGTCGCCGTGGCCACCCGTCTTCGCATCTGCGGCTTGACACGGACCTCTATCCTATCCAGAGCAGGGGCGAGGACACCGAGGCCGCAAGAAGATGGCGCGAGAGCCGAGATGGTCCCCCGCAGCCGGGTGCGTCAGCGCAAGGGCTGGACGGCGGACCCGAAGCCGGAGATTCGAACCCAGGCCGAGTCAGCTTCGCCGCGCAGCCGGTGGCCAGCGGCCCTGAGCTCGCGCCTCGCCACCGACGCCTGCGGTTCAGGGGAATCGGCGGGGAGGTGAAGAGTGTCGCCAGCGCCGCCGAGGCGAGCGCGAGGGTCTCGCGCGCCAAAGACTGGGTGGCTCGCCAGAGGGCCCGGACGAAACGGCTCAGACGGTCGCCCACGGGCCGCTTGAAGACGAGGGTTGCGGCCCTGTACAAGAAATGGATCTACGAAGGGCTACTGCGCCAGAAGCCATTGCCTCCGAGCGCTGATGGGAGACATGTCCCTCTCAACCCTGGCCAAGCCCGCAGCAAGAGCCTGACGGATGAGCGCACGGGGAAGCCGTACATTTCCAATTTCATTAGGTCCAGCAGATACACGCTGTGGTCGTTTCTTCCGAAGCAGTTGTTTTTCCAGTTCAGCAAACTCGCCAACGCATATTTCCTTACTATCGGCATTCTGCAAATGATACCCGGTCTCAGTACTACAGGGACCTATACGGTGTGTATTCTCCATCCTGTTCCTCATTTTTCGAGCACTGTCCTTGATATAGGGCTTTATGAAGACCACGTTTGGCTCTAAGATCCTTGCTGACGTATGGTAGACTATCGGTCCTTTAATGGCTTTTGTTGCGCTTAGTATGGCCAAAGAAGGCTGGGATGACTACAGAAGATACAAGCTGGACAAGCTTGAGAATAGGACCGAGGTGTGGGTGTTAGACCCTGCCAGGAGCCTATTGAGTGAGAAACGGTATGGCAAGCTGCGAGAAAAGTTCCGCAGACGCCGTGACGACGTGGAAGGTGAGCTGCAGGAGCTGGACCGGGTCGAAGAGCGGGAAGATGAAAATCCCCCATGGTCTCAGGACGAAGACGTGCACTGGTCGAAAATACAGTGGGAGGAAGTCCGTGTCGGCGACATCGTCAGACTACGAAGAGACGAGAACGTTCCCGCCGACATGGTACTCCTCCATGCCACTGGACCCAATGGCATCGCTTACATCGAAACAATGGCGCTGGACGGTGAAACGAACCTGAAGAGCAAGCAAGCCTGCCCTCTCTTTACGAAACACTGCGACTCATTATCGGCTTTGAACGCAGTACAGGCCGAGGTAGTATCCGAGGATCCCAACCTAGACCTATACAACTACGAAGGCAGAGCCGTTGTTGATGCAGAGGCCATGCCTCTTACCCTGAACCAGGTGGTGTATAGGGGCTCGACACTGAGGAATACGAGCGAGGCTATCGGTATTGTGATCAATACCGGGGAAGAATGCAAGATCCGGATGAACGCGAGCAAGAATGTGCACGCCAAAGCGCCGGCGATGCAGTTCAGGGTCAACAAGATCGTCATTCTGTTGGTCTTTGTTGTCGTCATGCTCTCTGTCGGCTGTTCCATCGGTAACATAATCTGGGTAGACGACTACGAGAGGCATGCATGGTACTTGGACGAAGGATCAGTAGCCTTTGGTCAGATTCTCATCGGTTTCGTCATTGCATTCAACACCCTGATCCCGTTGAGTCTCTATGTCTCGCTGGAGATCGTCAAAATCGGCCAGGTCATGCTACTAAGAGATATCGATATGTATGATGGAGTCTCGGACACACCAATGGTGGCGAATACTACGACAATTCTTGAAGATCTCGGTCAGGTCAGCTACGTCTTCTCGGATAAGACAGGAACGCTCACAGAGAATGTCATGAAATTCCGCAAAATGAGCGTGGCGGGTACCGCGTGGCTGCACGACATGGACCTTCGGCGCGAGGCTGAGGCGAACAGAAGAAGACAAGCACGAATCGAGATGTCAGGTTCCAAGGCCAACAAGGGCAAAGGGAACCAGTCCACAAGAGCTTCCATGCACACGATGAGGACCGAGCCTGCTGAGGACCTCCTTCTCGAGGAGCACGTGTCAAACTTGGGCCCAATCCGGAGGTCAGACTCAGTCTGGACGTCTACAACGCGACCAAATGAGACCCGGCAGCTGAGAACGGAGGAGCTCATCCATTACGTACGGCGAAAACCCAACTCACCATTTTCGAAGAAAGCCCGGCAGTTCATTCTGTGCATTGCCTTGTGTCACACCTGCTTGCCAGAAAAGAAGGCCGGTGGCAACATTCAGTTTCAAGCGGCTTCGCCTGATGAGCTAGCCCTTGTTGAAGCAGCGCAAGATCTCGGATACCTGCTCATTGATCGATCCTCACAGAGCATTGAGCTGGAACTTGCCGATGAGAATGGTTCATCCGCGACCGAGACTTACGAGATTTTGGACGTGATCGAGTTCAGCTCAAAGCGCAAGCGGATGTCCATCATCATTCGCAAGCCAGACGGCCGGATATGTGTCTTCGTTAAAGGTGCTGACAATGTCGTCTTGCCTCGGCTTGAGCAGAGCAGATTAGCGATGGAGACCGCCTCCGCCGTCGATCGCAGGGCTAGCCTCCGCAGAAGTATGGAGCAGGAGAAGGCTATGCGGAAAATGAGCATGCACAGTGCGAGGAACAGCACATCTGTTGCTCGGAGGACTGGCAGTTTCGCAAGTAGAACGGGCATCTTTGGGAGAAAGAGTACCACGAAGCGATCTGCAAGCATGCAAAGGAGACGATCGAGCGTCCTCGTAGATGAAGTTGACTCGTGGATCACCAACCGCGAAAGGGACGCTTCCGGGACCGGAGAGCCCCATCTGTCTCAGCAGACTGATGTGGCACGCGGGCGATCGATCGAGCTGCTCCAATCTCCAGAGGCGATGGATGACCCCTACGATGACATGGTCGACGAGAATATTGCCGTGGACGACCACGAAGTCTTTGAGCGCTGCTTCCAGCACCTGGATGACTTCGCTTCGGAGGGCCTGCGTACCCTGTTGTATGCCTATCGCTACGTACCTGAAGATGACTACAGCCAGTGGAAGTCCATATATCACGAGGCCACCACGAGCCTTGTTGACCGCCAGGCACGCATCGAGGCTGCCGCCGAACTGATTGAGCAGGGCTTCGAGCTGGCCGGGGCCACGGCCATCGAAGACAAGCTGCAGCATGGCGTCCCGGAGACAATCGACAAGCTCCGCCGTGCGAACATCAAAGTCTGGATGCTCACAGGTGACAAGAGGGAGACAGCAATAAACATTGCCCACTCCGCGAGGATATGCAAGCCTTTCTCGGAAGTGTACATTCTCGATGCCACCGAGGGTGATCTTCAGGAGAAGATCGCCGCCACGCTTGTCGAGGTCGGGCGCGGGATGATAATGCACCCTGTCGTCGTCATCGATGGGCAGACTTTGGGCGTGGTCGAAGCAGACGAGTCGCTCAAGGTGTTGTTCTTTGACCTCGTAGCTCGCGTCGACTCGGTCATTTGCTGCCGCGCGTCACCGGCGCAGAAGGCAACACTCGTCAAGTGCATCCGCACGCAAGTACCGAAGTCCCTGACCCTGGCCATAGGGGATGGCGCAAACGACATCGCAATGATCCAAGCTTCCCACGTCGGGATCGGCATATCGGGGCGCGAAGGCCTCCAGGCCGCCCGCATATCGGACTACTCTATCGCACAGTTCAGGTTCCTGCAGAAGCTGCTGTTTGTGCATGGGCGGTGGAACTACATCAGAACGGGCAAGTACATATTGGGCACCTTCTGGAAGGAGATCGTCTTCTACATTGTCCAAGCCCTTTACCAGGAGTACAATGGATACACGGGGACGAGTCTGTACGAGTCTGCGTCCTTGGCTGTGTTCAACACCCTGTTCACCTCTCTGGCCGTCATCCTGGTTGGCATGTTCGAACAAGACATCAAGGCCGAGACTCTGCTTGCGGTGCCCGAGCTTTACACCCTTGGGCAGAAGAACAAGGCCTTCAACTACTTCATGTACTTTGGGTGGAGCTCCCTGGCTGTCATCGAAGCCGTGCTCATCTTTTATGGGGTCTGGGGCATCTTCATGGCCATCAACTTCAACGAGGACAACACGCTCTTTGCCATGGGCGACCTCGCGTTCACGGTGTGCGTGCTATTCATCAACATCAAGATGCTCGTCCTGGAGCTGCACAACAAGACCCTCGTCACCTTCATCGGCTTCTTCATCAGCGTCGCCGGCTGGTTCCTCTGGAACCTGTTTCTCTCGGCCATTTGTACGTATAAACACCACCGTGTGGCATTTCCCTTGCAGAGACCTTTTCAAAAGCACTATGTCTCATATTCCTGGACTTAATTGACACATCACAGATGAACCCCGACCCGGCCCTTACATCGTGCGCGACGCGTTCATCTACAACTTCGGGCGCAGGCCGACGTGGTGGCTCACGGCGATCATGGCGCTCGCCATGGTCATCGTGTTCGAGCTCGCGATCAGCGCGGTGCGACGCATCTTCTGGCCGCAGGACCAGGACCTGATGCAGGAGGTCGAGAAGTACGCCGGCGTCATGGACGTCATGAAGGAGCACGCCGCGGAGGCGGGAGAGGCCGGCCCCGCTGCCGCTGCCGTTGCCGATGCCGAAGACGGGAAGCGGGCGAGCCGAGACTCGGAGGAGGCGGGTGCCCGGCCCTCGCAGCAGCAACACGAATGGAACGGCTACGGCAGCCAACGGGGCGGGAGGAGACGCAGTCGGAAAATCAGTGGTGATGTCTACGGGGCGCCGCCTTTCATGGCGACGCCGGAGGAGAGGGACGTGGATCCCCTGGATGATGCCGGTGGGCCTGTTGTTGGGTCGTCAAGGGACGATGGGAAGGGGAAGCGGCAGTCTGTCAGTACGAGTGCCTACCAGGTGGGTGCGTAGGACTGAGTGCCTGACATGAGGGCCAGTATAGGCAGAACTTCAGTAAGTATCTTGGGGGGAGAAAGGCTGGCAATTTACGATTCAAGAGGTGGATGAATTGATGAAATATGAGAATAAGAAACATTGAAATCACATACCATTTAGTAGCCACAATACCTCGTGTTGGATTGCATATTTCTGTGCTGGCTTTGCTGCGGTGTAAAAAGGATTTAACCACACAACAATCCTCAGAGGAAGCACTTGCAAAAGACACCTATGACATATTGTTTTGTTGGCCCGTGAAGCGAGCAGGCAAAGCCATCCGAGTCGAGTATTTGCCTCCGGTGCTGAGTTCGATTTGCAAACAGCCGTCCATTGCAACAGTGTCTGCCAGCTTGAAAACCCCGGACTAGATCCGCGCTTCGTCCGATCTGCCCGCCCCCGGCCACCCCTACCCGTTGCGTCGTTCTTGAAACATCGCGACACGCAGGTGATTGGCTGCTTGGCACAGAGGCTCCATTCCAAACGTGCAGCAGCAACCGGGCCCCGGGTCGATCTCTGGGATGGGGTCAATGCTACCCCGTTCGGGGACAGGAACAGCCGAAAGGGGCCCAACTTAGGTAATAATCCCCTCCTCAGACGTGGGTGGTGAAGACCAGACGACCTTGCATTGCAGATGTCTGTTTCTTTTCTTCCAGTCGCGAGGTATCGGCGGAAAAGCAGTTTGAGCTGCCGTGGGTTGTCGTTGGCCTGCCTGTCTTTTCCCGCCTCTGCGGTGCCACCCTCGTTGGGGAGGATACTTGATGGCTGCTCTTCTGGTCGCGGGATCGACGCCGGGCGGGACGCGGCGGAGGTTGAGCTTTCGGCGGGTTGAGAGGTGGTCTGAACCGCCCCAGTCCGAGGAGGGAAAGAGTAGGGCAAAGAAAGCTGTCGAGCTGCTCTTGTGGTCCGAGATTGGTGAGATGTCATCCCGCTCCTCCCTCTTTCTCTGCGTCGGATCATGAGTCACGAAGGACAGGCGGGCTGATGATGGGCTTCGCAGAGGAGTGGCAGCAACGTGGCAGTGACCACATCGAGACTGGGTACCGCAGGGCCTGCGGAACAGTTAGGGGTTGTCTTCTGAGCTGGACTTACGTACACAGTAGGTGAAGCCTGTGAGCAGTTTGTTAGCCTTCATGCTCCAGCCTCGAACCTTATCTCGTCCTGAAAATATAGTCTCAGGACCACATTGTCCCATGACACACGAACAGGCCCCCCCCCTTCCCCAAATCAGTTTGCCAGTGTCCTAACTGCTCTCCCTGGCAGATGAGACGGTCAACATCTGGTCCCACATCCTCGGGGCCCTGGTCTTCATCAGCCTCGCGGCCTGCGTCCTCACGGAGATGCCAGCCCGGTATCACACAGCCACAGCAGCGGACGTCGTCGTCTGCAGCACATACTTCCTCGGCGTGGCGGTGTGCTTCGCGCTGTCGACCGCCTTCCACACGCTCATGGCGCACAGCGAGGCCGTGTACCTGCTCAACATGAAGCTCGACTTCCAGGGCGTCCTGGCACTGATGTGGGCCGCCACCGTCCCGCTCGTCTACTACTCCTTCCCCTGCGACCCGGCTCTCCAGGCGGCCTACTGGGGCCTCATCACCGCGCTCGCCGCCGCCTGTTCGGCGGTTACCTTCCTCCCGCGCTTCAGCGCCCCGCACCTGGGGCCTTACCGTGCGGTGCTGTTTGGGGCCTTTGGCGTGGGCAGTTTTGCGCTGCCTATTGCTCACGGGGCGCTGGTGCATGGCTTGGAGGAGGAGTGGGAGAGGGTGGGCCTGGGTTGGGTGTTGTGGACGGTTGTTTGTGATGGTGTGGGAGTTGTGGTATATGGGCTGAAGGTGAGTCTGCAGAATCCCTTGCTTCTTGCCTTGAGCAGTACTCTCTCTCATGGGGTGAAGTTCTCCTTCTTGGAAAGTGAGCTGTGTTGCTGATGCTGATATGTTGAATAAGTTCCCTGAGAGGTGGTTCCCTCGGCGCTTCGATCTCTTCGGAGCGAGTCACCAACTGATGCACATGTTCGTCGTTTTGGCGGCACTCACGTACACTTGTGCAGTGATATCGGCCTTTGATCACCGGTATGAGGAGGGTGCCGTTTGTTGAACACAGTATATTCGAATTCTGCTAGATCAACCAATGATGCGGTTGTGGGCCAGCTTAAATTCAATGAACTCTTCTATGTCAGTGATCATTCCCAGAGATACATGAATAGACTTGGGGCCTGCTTCGAACACAAAGACGCAGCGCCGATTTATTTCATGGGATCTACCCTCTTAGTCGCCGGCTTCTCTGCCAGCTTCTTTTCGATCTGGCAATATCCATAGTCAGTACCTTGGCAAGGGATGAATGTGTAAGGCGCAGTTCAGGGGCTCAAGTGGACACACCTTCTCACGATTTTCTGGCCTGTTTGGGGCATCCTCTGGCAATTCGGAATCTGAGCCATCCGCCTTGGTTTCTATGTCCTTATGGGGCGTGTTTATGATCCCAGGGTGTGAAGAGCGCAACGCTCGCTGTTGCTCGTGGTCATTGTGCTTGTCGGCCTTTTGGCCACTGCTCAATAACCAGAAGGTGGTTGGAAGAACGACTGCGATGGCTCCTATGAGCCTGAGACCGGTGTGCAATGTTAGTGTCTGGGCTCTGCGTGTGAGTGTCTCAGAGGGAATGCATGACACGGAGAAGAAGGACACCCTGTTGGGAACATAGCACATACCACGGCAGTCCGCCGGTGCCCTCAGTGCGTGATGGAGGGTGATCTGGCATGTCGCTCGCATATCTCCTCCTGGAGATGAGTGCTGTTCTCGAGTGTGGCCGCAAACGGGGGCGCAGCAAAGCTCGCGAGGTCGAGTTCATGATGTTGAGTCTGATGGAAGACATGGTTGATGACAGATTGTCAAACAGTGAGTAAAATGATGCTGTATCTCAGATGTAGCTCATGTAATTCAACACCCTTTAGATTTCTGAGACCTAATATACGTAGATGGCAGCGGCGATTGGACCCTGGGCCCGGGTCCGGATCCGAAGCATGTATGACCATTAGACTTGGTTTTTGAGGTGACCTAGCAACACTGGTGGCGCCGATCGATTTGAGCCTCTAGTTGAGAAGTACCTCCACAACCTACGATCAGATGCGCTTTAGATGTCTTTGCGTAGTAGACCTGACGTCACTGACGAAGCCCGAGAACCTTTTCTGTTTCTCAATCCTTTGGTCAAGTATGGGAGCTTGCCAGTCCGGACCTGTGTTGTCTCCCCCTTTCCCGCTCCACTCGTACAGCATTTAGGGGCATTCTTTACATGCCCATTGCTTCCGCAACGTGAATTTGATTCAAACACATCTAAGGTCTGCCAAAACCCAAATACATCTCTGCTCACATAAGTTTACATGGGTATTTGAACTGATATCTTCTCTCGTCATACCCTCCGAAGCGACTTGTTACCAAGCCGATTAGTGGAGCGCAGGTGCAAGCTCATACCTGTAAAGACAAGTCTCTCGCGCGCCGTCTTTCGTATGTGAGGCCGGATGAGGTCAATTTGAATGAAACAAAATTTGTCTTCTGAGTCTGGAAGGCTTTTCGAAGTCACTCAACAAAGAGATGATATGAACCCCTGGCTGTCGGTCAGGATTGAGTGGCTTCCAGAAACTTCGCCACACAGAACAAGTACATCTGTACCTAGGTAGTGGCACGGTGTCTAGGCAATCTCCGGTTAGCTGGAGGAGGCAATACTAGAAGGTGTGGGAGCGGTATACCACAAATACGCTGTCGGTCATTCAACAATACGGGTTGTCATGGAAAGTCCACGATGTATGAGCTTCAAGCGATGGAGGTCTCGGAAGCAGACTCCTGAGTTAGGCAGAGTCAAGAAGTGATAAGGTGACGGATGCAATGACTGGGCGATGCAAGGGGCAAATACTTTCACATAATGAGACAGGCATAATCTACAAGTGTTGCTCATACCCGCAGGTGAGCTGTCTTGGGTGAGTACCTAGGTACATGTGTATGTGGGCCAAGACTAGGCACCGGGTCTTAGCACGACCGCCCTTCCCAAGGTTCCCCACACTGACCCAGCACCCCACCATCGAGCTACTGGTGATGTTGTTGCTGCTGCTGCTCCTGCGACACCACCATTGATCGACCTCCATCTGCATTTGTTTTGACCTTGGTCATCTTTCCTTGTTGTTGTGATTACGTCTTACGTCGGGGAGGATACCACTGTCGGCGAGTGACGACCTTTCCATCATTAACCTCCCAAACCATCCACCTACTTCGCATTCGGAATCAGCATCTACCCCTCGCGCCGGGGCATCATCCCCCTTCAACGTTCAAGATGGCGACGAGCATACCCCCCAACCCGACCTCGCACACGGTCATCCAGCTCCTTGGCAAGCTGAACGACACGGACCCTGACTTCAGGTTCATGGCTCTGAACGACTTGATTGCCGTTTTCGCCAATGCCAAGAATGACATGCTCCATCATGACTACAACACCGCCGCCCGCACCATCGATCATGTTGTTAAGGCCCTGGACGATCAGAACGGCGAGGTTCAAAACCAGGCGATCAAGTGGCAAGTCTCCCTCCTCCAGGCTCTGTCGCGAACGCCTCCATGCTGACCTTGTTTGTTTCAACCAGCCTTGGGCCCCTCGTCGCGAAGACGCCCGCCAACCTCATTGCACCCCTGATCGAGAAGCTCACCACCCTGAAGCTCCAGAACTCTGTCGACAACTCTGTCCCTGCTCTGGCCCTCCGTAATGTCATCGAAGCCCTCCCACGACCGCAGCCTGGTCAGGCTGCTACAAAAGAAGTTCTCGAAGCATACACCAGCATAAGTAGGGTGTTGATGCCCAGGCTTCTGGGACGCACCTCGCAGGCGGCCAAGTCTAGTGGCAGTATCCGTCTGCCTCCGGCAGGGCAGGGCATCATCCAGGACGATGCCCTTGTGAACGCCGATGCTGTCGATGTTATTATCGAGGTCGTCAAATGTTTCGGAACCATGCTGTCACCACAAGACGAAGTCCAGGCCCTGCAAGACGTCATCCTAGGACTGCTTGACAACCAAAAGGCAACGTCGGCTGTCAGGAAGAAGGCTGTGATAGCCCTTTCGATATTGGCTGTTCATTTGCAGGACGACCAACTGATTGCATTTCTCAACCGTGCTGTGGCGGTGCTCAAGAACCCAAAGACCGACCCTGTCACTCAGCGGCTCTACCTCACCATCATGGGCTCCATGGCCAGATCTATTCCGCATCGCTTTGGCAAGCACATCGGCGATGTTGTCCAGCTGACTCTGGCCTTCTTGGCGGAGGATGTTTTGCAAAGCCATCTTGAAGAAATCGGCGAGGGCGACGACGTGGGCTTGGAGTTCTCTGAGGTCCGTGAGGCAGCGTTACTTGCACTCGAAGCTTACTTGGCATCATGTCCCTCCGAAATGCGCCCGTATACGGATGAGGCAATCGCAGCATCTCTCCGGTATCTGAAATATGACCCCAACTACGCGTTGGATGAAGACGAAGACATGGACGAGGAGGAAGGCGAAGACGAAGATGACGACTTTGGTGACGACGACGAGTTTGAAGCCGGAGTCGGCTTCGATGACGATGATGACGCCAGCTGGAAAGCCCGGAGATGTGCCGCGAAAGCCCTCCATACCCTCGTCTCTACGAGGAGCAACGGTGATCTTCTGGATAACGGCGTGCTCTACAGCCAGATCGCACCGCCATTAGTCAAGCGCTTCGAGGAGCGCGAGGATAATGTCCGCCTGGAAGTCATCTCTACGCTTTCTCTCCTCATTCGAAAGACGGGAGAGGGCATCATTCCCGAATTTCTACTGGATGGCACTCACGGCGACATCCAATCCCCACAGACCCAGAGCCGCAAGCGGAGGCGGCAGAGCAGTGGTGTCTCTGCCACCGCGCGTTTCGATGGCAATGGGCTGGTGTCACCTACTGTCGAGAAGATCCCTTCCAGTGGACCCCGTGCTGATCTTGCCAAGCTCACTCCGCAATTGGTGAAAGCGGCCACGAAGTTGCTCAAGGGCAAATCAATCCCTACCAAGCAAGCGACAATGAATCTCTTGGACGATCTGATTCTTGTCCAACAAGGCGGGCTTTCTGACCACCTGGATCAGATTTTTGATCTTGTTATTGATGCGGTCAAGACCAATGCAGCCTCCACCACGTCGACCTCGTTGTCTGGCAGTGGCGGTGCCGCCTCTGCCACGCCATCTACATTGCGTGTTGCAGCACTCAAGCTTCTCAGCGACGTTGCCAAGACGCACTCATCGAGTCTGCTGCAGCCTTACCTCACCAAGATGGTCAGCGGGGTTGTTGGTGCCGTGGCAGACAGGTATTACAAGATATCCTCTCAAGCAATCGAGACCGTGGAGGAGATTGGGAAAGCCATCACGCCGCCGCGGTCTCAGAAAACGGCGCAGAAGTACAAATCAGAGTTGTCCAAGCTGTATGACGTGGTTGTTGGGAGGGCCACAGCTACGGACGCAGATGCGGAGGTGCGACAAAAGGCCATACATGCGCTGGGCACTTTGCTCTCCCGCACAGGCGATGCTGAAGGAGCCACCCTGCTACCTGCCGACAAGCGGAATAATGGTCTCTCTATCATCGCAGATAGACTCAAGAACGAGACTACGCGTCTTGCCGCTGTGCGAGCAGTCGAGGAAATCGCTGCGCATCCGTCCCCAAACTTCGATGCTACTTGGGCGCGAGATGTTGTTGTGGAGCTGTCGGCCCAGGTGAGAAAGGCGAATCGAGCTTTGAGGGCATCTAGCATCCAGGCCTTGAAGCATATTCTGCTGTCTATCACAGGCCAACAGGCTCTGGACACATCGACCCTGGAGAACCTCGTCGAAGCACTCCTGCCCATCATCGCTAATGCCGATGCTCAGTTGCACGGAGCGACGTTCCGCGTTCTGACTTCCTTGGTCAAAGTCGATGCGAAATTTGTTGTTGACCCGAAGTTCGACAGTGCAATTTGCGATTACGTACAGCAGAACGTGGTCAATGCTGTCTTGACACCTTTGCTCGACCTCATCGCCCAGATTGGTCAATCTGGGGTTGGCGAAGAGCTGATGACACGTATGCTTAAGGACGTCGGTGTCAGCGGAGACCCCTCTACTGTAGGCAAAGTCATCGGGACTCTCTTGGTTGCCAGCGGCGGAACAGGCGGTGTGGACATCAACAGCTTCATAACGGAGGCTGAGACCGCAGAGGACAAGGCTAGAGGCAGCCTGGCCCTGAGCGTCCTTGGCGAAGCGGCACTGAGGCTGGGAACCAAATCGCCTCTGAAGCCCGAAATCTTTACCAAGCACTTTGGTGATGAATACGACAAGTTCTCACTGACGGCGGCGATGGCGCTGGGCCGTGCTGCAGCTGGTAACGTTCAGGCGTACCTGCCAGTGATTCTTCAAAGCTTCCAGAACGCGGGTGCCAAACAATACTTGCTCTTGCAGTCGATCAAGGAGATCCTCCTACAGAGAACAGACATTAGCGGTTTCGCGCAGCCCGTCTGGGACTGCTTGCTGGAGTCTTCTCAAGGCGAGGACAACAAGGCGGTGTGTGCAGAGTGCATAGGACGCCTGGCGGTTGTCGACCCTGAGACGTTCATTCCCAAGCTCGATGTAAGTTGCGCAGCATTCTATTTCCTCGTCCGAGACAAAATGCTAATTTGCTGTCGCAGAAACTTCTGGGCAACCCTGAACCGGCTGTGCGAGGCATTGCTGTCCAAGCACTGCGATACACTTTTGCAGACAGCGGCGACAAGTTCGACACTGTTCTGCAGAATTACTTGATATCCATGCTCACGTCGATTTTGCAGGATCCAGAGATGGACATCCGTCGACTTGCAATGACGACGTTCACTTCGGCAGCAAACAACAAGCCTGACATGGTCCTGGGCCACCTCAACAAGCTGATGCCATTTGTCTTTGCAGAGTCGACGCTCAAGCCAGAGCTGATCCGCGAAGTCATGATGGGTCCTTTCAAAATCATGGTGGATGACGGGCTTGAGCTCCGCAAGGGTGCGTACGAGTCACTGTACGCCCTGATGGAGATTGCAATGCCCAGAATCAGCATCATCGAGCTCTACGACCGGATCATTGCGGGACTCAAAGACGACAACGACATACGGGCGCTGAGCAATCTGATGCTCTCGAAGTTGGCAGTCATTGATCCGCCGGAGACTCAACGGCGCCTTGACACTATCGCGGAAGCCTTCCGGGCAACACTGTCCACGAAGCTTAAGGAGAATTCTGTGAAGCAGGAGTACGAGAAGCAGGAAGAGGCGGTGCGTAGTGTGCTCCGGACTACCCTGCTCCTGTCCGACAAGCTTAAGGGGACTTTCGGCAGCGGGCAGTGTCAAATCTGGTCAGTATATCTGGACTGGGTCAACAAGGACTTTGACCGCCAGCTTAGGCAGCTGCGAGAGGAGAACGACAAGATTGGTCACACGTATGCCTAGAAGGCTCAAGAAAGACAAAGGACACGCATCGAACTCGTCCATTAGTCTTGATTTTCTGGCCCGGGAAGCGAAATGGTCACTTCTGACATTGTCTAAAAACGTGCCAGATGCTTTCCGGGTCCCGGACAGGCCCCCAAGATGAGAGGTTATCGAGCATCCCTAGTCGGAAAAATTGAAGGCAAACGGTGAGACAGGAGTGACCGGACCAACTGAGCAGCACTCATGTGGGTGCTGTTCCCTGACGGTCGATTGCAAGGATGAGATAGAATACCACAGAATCATGAATGATAATGACAATGGAAAGCCGCCAAAGAGTATGTGCCTGTGAGGCTGCGCACGACTCGATGCGTAGAGGAAGAATTGGGCGGGTCTAGAGTGTCAACTTGCGCAGGCATTGTGTAGGTAGATAAGCCCTGCAGCTCGGAGTGAGAATGCGGCGTATTATCGATCCGGCGTGGAGAAGGAAGCCGTCATTATCGGCGTTAGAATGCTGGAACCCCGATTCTTATTCCGGCAGAAGGATGAGAAACCATCCCCACACTGGCCAAGCTCGTCCGACTCTGCGGGCCTCCTCCCTATTCGGGAAGTCAGCTATCGGCAGGGGCTGGGAGGTTTCTTTGCGAGGCTCTCTCCTCACCTTCGATGTTTGAGCCTGTCGGCATCAAAATGTCATGATTGAACTTTCACTTATGTTCACACAAGTCTTGTCGACTCTGTCAATCCGTCCATTCCAACACAAGACCCGGATCCGGAAGGCGCCTGGATACATCGGTGGTTGAGGTCCGAGGTCGACATAGAACCTGCAATGCTGACCACCGTTTTGCTGGCGTCGGCGGCCCTCGCCCATTTCTCGCAGGCCCAATTCCCTCCGCCTCGAGAAGGCATCAACACGGTACGATCCAAGCACCACGAGGGTATAACTATCTCTTATAAAAACCCGGAGCTGTGCGAGACTACGCCAGGCGTCAAGAGCTACAGCGGTTATGTCCACCTTCCCCCATACTCACTCAACGAGGAGGGTGAGGACCAGAATTACCCCATCAACACCTTCTTCTGGTTCATTGAGTCCCGCAAGGACCCGCACCATGCTCCCCTGTCCATCTGGCTGAACGGCGGACCGGGAGGCTCGAGTCTGCTGGGCATGCTGTCCGAGAATGGGCCCTGCGCCGTCAACGCGGACAGCAACAGCACGACGCTGAACCCGTGGAGCTGGAACAACGAGGTCAATGTTCTCTACATCGACCAGCCCGTCCAGGTCGGGTTCTCGTACGATACCCTCAACAACGGCACCTATGACCTATTGGCTATGAATGTAATGGACGACTCGTATTCGGGTGAGTTCCCCATCAAGCTGGATGACTTCGCGGACGGGATCCCGGAGACCAACTCGACCTTCTACGTCGGCACTTTTGCGAGCCAGAACGCGACGCAAACGCCCAACTCGACCGAGCATGCGGCCGTTGCTCTGTGGCATTTCGCGCAGACCTGGTTCGAGGAGTTCCCCGAGTACAAGCCCCACGACGAGAAGATCAGCCTGTGGGCCGAGAGCTACGGCGGCCACTACGGCCCCAAGATCATGGACTTCTTCCACAAGCAGAACCAGAAGATCGCCAATGGGGAGATCTCCGGTCCGGGGACCCATTATCTTCACCTCGATACCCTGGGGCTCGTCAATGCCTGCATCGACGTCCTCGTCCAGGATGAGGCCTACTCCTTCTTCGCCTGGAACAACACATATGGCATCAAGGCTATCAACGAGACAACCAAGCACAAGCAGCTGTACGAGCTCTACCGGCCCGACGGAATCGTCGACCAGTCCCGGGAGTGCCAGCGCCTCAACAAGGCCCTCGAGGCCACGGACGGTCCGAATCTGGACGCGGACTACGTTGAATCGTACTGCCGCAACGTGTCATTTATCTCTTACGACATTCTCGTTGCTCCTTATATGGAGACAGGTAAATACGGCTGGTTCGACGTCACGCACCCCTCGGCGGACTCGTTCCCCCTGAATTTCCACCTGGGCTGGCTGAACCAGCAGTGGGTCCAGCGCGCGCTGGGCGTGCCCGTCAACTTCACCTGGGTCTCCCCGATCGTGTCCCAGGTTTTCACCGCCCACGGCGACATGGCGCGCGGGGGCTACCTGGAGGGCCTGGCCGACCTGCTCGACAACGGCGTCAAGGTCCACCTGATGTATGGCGACAGGGACCTTGCGTGCAACTGGATCGGCGGGGAGGCGGCGTCGCTCGCGATCCCGCACCGCCACCAGAAGGCGTTCGCGAACGCGGGTTACACGGCCCTGACCGTGGCCTCGTCTGACGAGCCGCCGTTCGTGCCGTACGGTCTCACCCGGCAGCACGGTAACTTGAGTTTTACCCGTGTGTACCAGGCAGGCCACATGGTCCCGAGTTACCAGCCGGAGGCGAGCCTGAGGATCTTCGAGAGGGCCCTGTTCAACAAGGACATCGCCACTGGAACGTTGGACCTCACGGCGACGGGCGGGTGGAAGAGCGGCGCGGATATCTTCCGGACGGAGGGACCCCGGGACACGTGGTGGAAGAAGAACGAGCTCATGCCTGTGCCGAAGGGGCAGTGCTACATACTCCAGTTGATGACCTGCACTAAGGAGGAAATTGAGGCGCTCGGGAACGGGACGGCTATTGTCAAGGACTATGTCATTGTTGGTATCGAGGGGTCTGGGGGACAGGCTTTGGCGAAGGGTGACACTTCAGAATATGTAGGGACGTACGGGGATGAAGAGCAACAAATAGTCGTCGGCGAGGATGAACTGTGAGAGGGGTGGTCGAATTTCAGATTGCATTTGGACAGACGAAAGCCTAACGGTGGCGACTGATAGCGTAGTGAGCTGATGCTTCACGTGCGACACTTTCAAGGGCCGAATTTTGGCAGTTCATGTGTGCCCAAGCTCGAAGGAATCGTTGCCCAGCAAAATCAGGCGCTTGGGTGATTTGACAGTATCTTGGCAAGCAGGATCCGGCTAAAGCGGCGATGCAGAGGAAAAGAAAAAGGCACACATACATATAAGAGCTAGCTGCAACGAGTCTCAAACCGGATGGTGTCTGTCAGCCCATCTTGTGATTTTCCTCAACCTCAACAGGAGACATTGAAACCCCACATAATCAACAGACGAGATGTCAACGAGAACTACAACAATATCGGGGTTGGGGCCGACGATGACCTACTACCCCGTGACGACACCCGAGCCGTGGCCCCCAATCTTCATGTACGGTGCGCGCCCGCTGAGCCTCGACGGGGGCCAGATCGAAAAAGAACTCCCCCCAACCGAGCTGGACCAAAACAGCCATCGGCTGCGGGTCGACTGCCCAAATGGCAACACCAGCCACACCACCCGCACGCCAGAGGAGGAAGACGCCGACAAGCAGTGCGTCCAGGCAGACCTGTTCCCCGCCGAGTGGTACCGGAACCCAGGGACCGACAGCAGCGTGACGATCTTCGGCGGGACCTACACCCCGTCCGCGGCGCCGGAGAAGACGTGGCGCTGCGAGATGACCGTGGGGGAATTACATGATACCCTGGTGGGCGGCGACTGCTCGCTGTGGGAGACGCCCTCGGGCGCCGCCGACGCGTCCACCATCGCCACGACGGGCCTCGGCCGGTGCGCCGTGTCGCGGCAGTACGTGCCGGTGCGTCTCACGGCCGGCGAGTTAGCGGGGAGCTGGGGGACTGGCGCAAGTTATTGGTTCGACCCGACTAATGCCAACAACGAGGCGGTCACGGCACTGAGCTCGGAGAGGTGCCCGGACCCGACGAGCCTCCTTGGCTTCGTGGCCGCGACGGCGACGGCGACATCGGGGACGGCTGGGTCTGCGACGCGGTCAACCTCGGCTGCCAGCGCAGGAACGGCCTTCAGGGGCGACAGGACTGGTCCGGCGGCTTTGGTCTGTGTGGCCCTGGCATGTGCGAGGGTGGCGGGGCTTTTGTCGTTGCCTCTATAGCGAGTAGGAGGCCGTTAGAAGATTCAAAGATTCGGGTATCGAGCAATGTTCTGGAAGTTCCGAGGCTGTCTTCATCGTCAGTATGAAAAATGATGCCGTTCGACGAGCGCTGGGTGATGAGCATTCAGTATGAGAGCGACGATCATTGCAGACGAGTTGACCGCACTCCAAACTACAAACTGAACAAGGGGAATGATGTTGTCCCATTTCTGGCGGGCAGAGGGGAAGAGTGGGTTTCTCTAAAGTAATCAATTACCACTGCGTAGAGATGCCGTGTGGATTGCTAGACTGTTACCGACCTGTCTGATTTGACACTTCCCCCAGAATTATGGCCAAGTCTCGCAAGGCCTCACTGCACGTTCATGAACGAGCAGGATATATCGTAGCCGCGAAGCAAAAAATGCTTCTCGTTTGTCGACTAAGTTAGCGGCCGGGACTGAGAGGCCTGTTGAAACCTCCGACACGGTTCATGTACTGGCGGTACTCGGTCTTCTTCTCCTTCCTCACGGCGCCGAGGTTGTTGCCGACCACCTTCTTTCCCTTGGTGGTGCCGAACCCCCCAAAGCCCATCATCGCTGCCATGTCGTCATCCATGCCGTCGTCCTCGACGTCAATGTCCTCTTCGTCCTGGTCCATTGGCTCGGCACCTTCGTCGTCATCGTCTCTCCGGCCCCGCCGTTCACGGTCATCGGGGTAGCTCTCTTCCTCCTCGTCCCTTGGACGACCGCGATCACGCTCGCCGTCTTGCCGTGAGACCTTGAATGACATAGAGGAGTTCGTGTTGGACCTATCTCCGCCGCCTTTGCCTCGGTGGGGCAAGTCTGCCGTGGCAGGGCTGCCGCTGCGTCGGGGCGATGCCGACCTCCGGCGAGGATCTTGAAGAATGTCAGTAATTTGCTGCGAGTGGGATCTTGAGGCACTATTATAAATACCATCTCTGTGTCTAGGTGTCCCACTGCCCCTGTTCCTCGCATCCCTGCCATCGGAGTCTCGCCCACGGCGGGAATCGTGCGCGTCGCGTGGCGGGCGGCCGTCGCGATGCGGTCTGTCGCGCGACCTGGAGCGGTCACGCCTGCTGTCCTGGTCTCTTCCGGGTCTCCCTCCGCCCCTGCCCCTGTCCCTTTCCCTGTCCCTATCTCTGGATCTGGATCGGTAGCGCCGTCTGTCGTCACGGTCGTCGTCGCGGTCATCGTCGTATCGTCTGCGGTCGCGGTCCTGGTTGCGATCGTCTCTGTATCCTCCTCCTCCTCTGCGCCCGGACTGGTGGTCCCTGTCCCGTGGGGGCCGGCCGCCGCCGCGTCTAGAGGATCGGTCTCCCTGCATCGGAGCTGCGAACTGTGGTGGAGAGGGGAGAAAAGACAGCGCGGGACTGTCCGCCTGGATGTGATTAGACGTTGGTGGTCAAGCTTCAGGAGCGTGGAGCTCAGGCAATGGCAGGCAGTTGCGGCTGAAATAAGGCTAAGCGCGGATCAGCCGTAGGGCTGCAGCAGGGATTTTTCTACAGTGGGTGATCCACTGTAAAAACCCCTGCACTTACTCCTATTGCGCAACCTGACAGTGCCGCAGCCGTTCATTAATTAGACTGATAAACATTCTTTCATGCTGAGGAGATAGTCTACTTGCGCAATACCTGTAGACCCACCTCCGTTGTTTGTAATTCACCTGGTCTTGGAACCTTGAATCTGGGCGCCCTGTTGACTTGGGAACAGCCCGCCATGTCACCCTCAGCCCAAGCTCACAAGCGATCCCACAGCCTGTTGCTGCTACAGAAACTACTCAACCTCAGAGACAATGCCAGTCCTCTGACGCTGGTGCTTGACACTTTGGAGCAGGGCGCAACTCCAGTGTTGCAAGAGTTCATAACGCGAGCGAAGGTATGCTGCCCTGCAACGCTGTTTTACCATGACCGTGCACTTACAGTTGCACAGATAGCTCACACCAAAGTCATATTCATATCCTTTGCCACAATCAAAAGGCCTGCCAACGCAGATGTCCTCGTCAGGGCCACCGGCAAGCAACTTCAAAAGCTGCGCGCCGAGATCACCTCTCACTATACCACCCTCCCGCCTCCTACGGCGAGAAACGCCTCATCAACTTCATCGTCACAGAGTGAGCTCACAATACATGACCCAACAGCTGAGCGTACTTTCCAACTGACCAAACCTGCCAGAAACACTCCTCATAATAGACACCCTCAACCCGCTGTCGACGACCCATCCAAGGCACCTCACCGCCTTCCTGTCAAGCCTGCTCACCCACCCCTCCATCTCCCTCGTGGCCACCTACCACGCAGACGTCCCCCTGGCCCTCGCCCCAACCGCCCTGAGCGAGTACGAGCCCCACCCGCTGACGGTGCTGAACCACCTTGCCACCGCCGTCCTGCGCGTCTCGAGCCTGCACCAGGCCGTGGGAGCGCCGCCGCGCAAGGGACAGGAGCCTGCCCGAGCCGGCGTGGGGGCTCGCCGAGGGCCGAGAGGGCGTGCTGGTCGGCGTCAAGGGGCCCACCGCGGGCGGCGGCGTCGTGGTCGAGATGGAGCTGCGGAGGCGGAGCGGCCGCGCCGTCGTCGAGAGGTTCGTGCTCGCGCCCCAGGGCGCCGCGGCGGGTGCCTTGTCGCTGCTGTCGGACCACCCGCTTTTCGCTGCGCCGCCGGGCGCGGACGATGACCAGGGAGGAGGAGGACTTGGCCGAGACTACGTTTAACCTGGGCCTTACCGAGAAGCAGCGGAAGGACAGGGACGGCATTGTCCTACCTTACTTTGACGCGCAGAAAGATATCGGCGGTGGAGAAGGTGGAAGGATCTTGTACGAGATGGGGCGGGAGGATGATTTCGACGACGAGGAAGACGAGATCTAGACACACTCGTCATTGTGTCATTCCTTGGGTCATGAAGCTCAAAGCGTCCTGGTGCTATAATTGCTGCTAGCACTATTTCGATGTCGTCCAAAGCATTGTGCTCATTTCCACGTGAAATGCTTCTCCGAGCTCTTTCTCTGTGGTTACAATAACGTATTCCTTTAAGCCTTTCCGAGAGGCCACTGCCCTGTCCAGCAGTCAGAACATCCTGATATCGAGATCCCAAGACCGAACCTCCTATGGGACAACCTCTGGGATAAGCCTCCTATTGGAGATCGCCTCGCCCATCGGTTGACCGTTTCACAGTGCGAAAGAACCCAGGGATTTGGGTGAGTATGTTCTAAGTTAGCTGATCTAGGTCTAGGGCTGAGTAATTGCCTAATTAGGCCCCTAGGAGGCCCGACCACGGCTGCCCGTACCAACAACTGTTAGAAGCAGAATGCACACAGCTCTCAGTCCACAACTGCAGCAGTGCTGTCTTTGTCAGGGTTTCCACCCACGGTTTCATGTACGTTAGCAACAGAAACCTTCTGAAGGTCTTCCGTGACGCTTGCAGCGGATCCATCCGTGCTCGAACCCATCACGACGTCCTCTACACCGTCGCCACCATCGGCCTCCGTATTGCTCTCCACCACTTCAGATCCCTTGGCAGCCGCAGATACCTGAGTGCTCTCCGCCTGGGTCTCACTCTCAGCTCCCTTTTTGGGCTCTGCTGCAGGAACAGATCGCAGGTTCTCCGGCTTCAGTTCGTCGGGGATCGTTGTCTTCCAGTCAACCTCGAGTTTGCGGATGTAATACTCGTCGAACTGACCGGACGCGCGGGCCTCGTGAGCCGCCCAGGCATCCTGAAGCCAAGCGGGGTCATGCATGCCCGCCTTGAGGTTGGACACATACTCCTCTGTGTCGTGGCGGAAGTTGTCGTCATTCTGCAGGGACATGATGTTCGGACGAGCGTCGGGTGTGTTGGCATTCAAGATGTGTCGTGTGTCCGGAAAGAGAGCAAGTAACTCCTTCTTGTCCTCGTCGCCGAGGACATCCCACGCCTGGGGGTGCAGCAGCAACGCCTGGTCTTGTACGTCAGCAAATCAGCAAGTCCAGTGTTTTAGCACGAGAAACTGACCCTCAAATCCTTGTTGACGAGTGGTGACTGCTTGCTCTGGGTGACGTATTCTGGAGTCCACTTCCTGGCACTCGTCTTTGGCCTCTTAGTGGCAGGTGTCGCAGACGAGGCTGGTTGTGCGAATGTGACCTGAGCACGTTTTGAGGGGACTCTGCGCCGGCTGCTTCGAGGGGCAACCTCAATTTCCGCAACGACCTCGTCCTTTTCGTCCTCTTTGGTGGCGGGTCCATCGTTGACAGACCGTTTGAGAGGCAGCGTCGAGTCACTGGTCGACTTTGCCTGGCCATTGCTCTCGCTCTGGGATCGAGTGCGGGGAGCCATAGTGGCTGTAAACTCTGCAATCTCTTCTTCTGTGAAATCTGGAGGTTCTGAAAGGTCTGAGCTTGACTGCTGGCTGCCCGAAGGCAGGCCATATGTAGCGGTTGCCATTGTAAGTGAGCTAGTTGCCTGCAGACAGGGAAAGTGGACCCCGCGGGGTGATCGTTTGTTGTTGAGGCTGGAAGATGAGACGGAAAGATGCACAAGGAAGGCACTCGGGAGACCAAAGAATAGCGGGGTGAAAGGCTTGTTTACACATCCATTTCTGGATTTCTGTCCAGGCTGAAATGAGATCTCACTGAGTGAGTGGATGGGGGGAGAGTGACATGGCCACAAGCTACATGAACCACAAATAAAGACAAGGACAGGGCAGTCTCATGATTGGTCCCCTACAAGCTCATGCTGAGAAACGCGAATACCTGGCAGCACGGAACGCTGGGCGTGAATTTCTTTGGGAGACGGTGGCTTGCTCACTTGTACCAGTTAATCCAGAGGGAGGAGCATTGCTATGTGGTCTCGATTGATAGCAAGGCTGGGGGCTGGGGGCAGGAGCTACCCCGGCTCCGCCCCACAGGTCAATGTCATCCAGGGGATCCGTGCTCTGATTGGCAGCCTTGCAACTGTGATGTGCTACCCCAGAAGCCCAGGCCTAGAACCCTGCTATCATCTTCGTTCTAATTTCAACCAAACCTCCAGCTTCAAGACTTGCCTGATTTCCCTTTTTCATAAGCCAATTGAAACCCTGTGGTTCATCACTGTTCTCAGCAGACCGGCAAACAACGAAAAGCAATCGGTTGAATCGCCACAAGCAGGCAGAAACGGAAAGGTGGCGTCATCCCGTTGAGGACACGTTCGGCAGAGACACCAAGGCTCTACCGCGGAGGGCTGCAAGACGACGGCAGCGTGTTCCAAACACTCGGGCGCATCTTCTCCGACACACCCATACACACATACGCGCACACACAGAGCCTGAGACAAAATGATCAGGTCAACGCAAATAGCACGGCTTGACGGCCTGTACCTATGCGCTTCTGTAGACGATGAGGCAGTGAGTTCTCAACCCCCCCCCCGTTCCACCCCAACGCCTTTGTCATCATCATATGCTCTGACACCACGTTCGCATAGACCGAGTCGTCCCTGTCCGAGATCAAGTCACAAATAAAGCTGATCCTCCGCCGGCTCAACCGCAACTCCGAGTCCCAGGCGTCGATCGAGTCGGGCGACCACACGATCAACTACCTGATCGCGGACGACATCGTCTACTTCTGCATAACGGAGCGGTCGTACCCGCGCAAGCTGGCCTTCACCTACCTGTCGGACCTGGCGACCGAGTTCTCGACGACGTACCCGGCGACGCAGCTGCTGAGCCCCACCCTGCGGCCCTACGCCTTCATGGAGTTCGACAGCTTCATCAACAAGACAAAGGGCACCTACAGCGACGCCCGCGCCACGCAGAACCTCGACAAGCTCAACGACGAGCTGCGCGACGTGACCAAGGTCATGCACAAGAACATCGAGGACCTGCTCTACCGCGGCGACAGCCTGGAGCGCATGGGCGAGATCAGCTCGCGCCTGCGCGACGACAGCAAGAAGTACCGCAGGGCCGCGGTCAAGATCAACTGGGACCTGCTGCTCAAGCAGTACGGCCCCATCGGCGGCCTCGCCTTTATCATAATCGTGTTCCTGTGGTGGAGGTTCTTCTGAAAGGGCAGCTGACAGCCGGGGCGGGGAGGGGAATATGGTTTATCATGTAATAGGTGACAGGATGTTGTTACTGGAGTTACGGCGTTGGCTGCATAGCGGTAGGTTCAGTCCCTGGAGGCAAACAGATCATAATATACGGATCCACAAACACAGCAGGCGTTGTGCACGACTTAATGGAGCGAGCGGCGTTGACATCCGGATGGTGAAGAAGCTACGGAAATGTCTCTTGAACGATTACAGTACTTTCTCCTGGCTCGATTAAAGTAAGATGCTTTGTTCAACAGAAGCTCACGCAGAACATTGAAAAATTCATGGCCATGGCTTTGAAGCCTGGTGCAGTTTAGTATGCGTGTTGGAAAAACATGGGTATATTGAGCGTTGAACATAGACAGATATGAGGAGCCCCCTGCCAGCCTGCGCCGCTCTCACTGCAGCTGAGCCGAGCAGCGTTGACGTACGTGTCCCATCCAACATGGCGCGCTTCTGCGTGGGTTGAGCCATATCTCAAGTGCCCCAAACGCCACGGCTTATCCCAATTCCTAGTAACGCCAACCAAGCAAGAACCCCTCTCGATAAGAAACGCCGTTCAAGTGATTGAATTTTGGTGACATGCCCGATAAGCGACGTCACACCCTCCTCGTGCGCGCCTTACATGACCACGCAGTTCTTGGCCGATGGCAGGCTCGGCATCGCAGTCGAGGTGTGGTGCCACTCCAGATGAGCCTGGAACTCGTCCAGGCTTCCGAAGCCGCGCTCGTCCTGGGCATATCGGGTCTCGTCCCCCTCGCCCTGCTCGAAGTAGTTGTAGTCGTCGCAGTACGGGCAGAGTATCCTCGCCTGCCAGCCGCCGATCTCGGGCGCGAGGTGGTTCGCTATGGCGAGGGGCGCGAACACGACGGTCTTGTCCTCGCCGGTCGAGACGCTCTTCCCGCGGGACTGCCAGTTCGGCTGCTCCGTGACGCCCTTGGCGACGGCGGACGGGTCCGGTTTCGTCGGCATGACCATCAGGTCGTTCCACACGATGAACCCCTCGCAGAAATCGCATTCAAAGCCCACATCCCGGTCACCGAACCGCTCGAAGTGCCCGACGGTGCTGCAGACGGGGACGAGCTCCTCCAGCGCTTCCGTCAGCTCGGCCTCCCGCTCCACGGCGTCCAACTGCTCGCTGTAGTGTATCGAGGGCGCTTTCTGCTGGCCCATGTGACCCATCTCCACCGCCTCGCCGATGGACGTGCCCATCACGGGGGTCTGCTGTTCCCAGCTCTGTATTCTTTTTGGTTTCTTGCCTTGCGCCTGGGCCACCTCATCCCGCGTCGACTCATACCTCGAGGTTCGCCCTCCCTGTTGCTGCTCGTATTGCTTCCGGCGGTCGTCCAGCCGTCGCTGCCGCCTATATACCTCAAACGCGCCAAGACATCGCTGTCCCGGTCCGTCTGCTATGTCGGCCTGCTGGGAGGCGAATATCCGGGCGGCAGCGCGACATTGCGCTCGATGGAGTTCGCGTCTCAGTCGCACGGTGTCGTTGACCCATAGAGGTTCGATAGGCCCACCTTGTCGCAGCCAGTCCTTGAAGACCTGGGCATGGTTCTCGAATTCTGTGCGCAGGTCCCCGAGCTCGTCGAGCGACTCGACTGTGTGACGGATATGTCCAGTCAGCGATATGGCATTGCAGCAGAGTCAGGGGGTTACATGGGCGATTGGAAGCCGGATGCATATCGGGATGTAGCACAGGACCAGGGGGGTCAATTAGAGGTCGAACGGCGGGATCCCGCATCCCGTTTTAGACCCTGCCAGCAATGGCCCCCATCTCCGTCCCCTGTGGAGATGAAGGAATAAATGGAGGATGAAATGAGAGATGTGAGAATGCACATACGCCTGCGGTCGTTCTCGTAGTACACGGAGCCCTTGAGCAATGGCCCCATCTCCTGGAAGTCCTTCTTGGCCTCGTCCAGGGTGTGCTCGAGGGCGCGGACCTGCTCGAACTCGTCGGGCCCCCAGTGGGCCTTGTCGGCGAACATGAGGAGGCGGAGGGCATCGTTGATGGAGTTGGCGATGACGGCCAGCAGCGAGCCGACGGACTCTTCGGTGGACCCGTCGGCGGTGTCATTGTCTGTGGCCTTGGATGAAGTTCCCCGTCGGCTGGGGTGGCCACTCCTGTTCATCGTTTGGGCAGCGGCAACTCGAGCTTGAACCTGCTCCAGCAGCTGGTGGCGGCGGGTCGGTCCAGGTCCTGGTGGCGACTGAGGCTGAGGGCGACAGCCGTCATATTAAAAGAGAGCGGCAAAGCAGCAAAGAGGGTCCTGATGTAGTCAGTCTGTGGGTGTGCTTCCGTGAAGATGCCCCATGCAAGTGCGCAGCCGATGGATGTCGTCAATGGGGAGGAGCACGCGCATGTGTCTGGTTGATCTGGGCTCTGTCTTGCTAGCTTCCTTGGCTGCGGAGTGACGGGGCCTCCCAAGGACAGGTCGGGTCATCCCTAAGCTTTCGCTGCCCCCCCAGGCACTGCGAGGGACGAATCAGGGCAGACAAAGCCCCCTCGGCCCGCCCGTTTGTGTCCTGGCTGCCCTGGTCTGTTCGTTGCACAGCCCTACGGGAAGCCCCAGGGGGTGGGGGTTTCTCGCTGATAGCACGGGTTCTGTCTTCCAGCTCTGCCCACACGCCAGCCAGGTCGCATTCTCGACCGTTTTCAGGTCTAGGCTCTGGGCTCGTTGGTCGTATTGTTCTCTTCTCATTCTATTGTCCCCTATCTCAGATGCTTGGCCTCACTAATAACTCACTGACAGACTGGCTGATTCTATTTCTGGGCTAAACTGAATTCCACGCGTCTATGCACCGAGTGCAGCACACCATCGGGCGAGAATAAACCGTGAGGGAGACTTTCTAGGTGTTGCAGTGGGCAAAAGACAAAACAGCCAGTCGACCCAAGACCCGGGTACAGGCGCCCAGGGTCCTCGACTCCCCCTAGTCCAGTCAGGTACGCCCAAGCACGAGCCTCCCTGGAGTCCGGGGGGACGGTCTCCTGAAGCGGCCGCCCGCTATTCACGTGGCTCGGAAACAGTAATACGGGTCTCGACGTGCGTTAGCGGGGCTGTGGCTCTGCTGCCCGACTCCATTCTCGAGGCTCAGTTTTCTCCTCGCGTCCCCGAGACGACGGACGCCGTTATGACTGACATGAATGGCGGGCCATGACGGCATCATTGTTTTGACAGGTTGATCTTTGAGAAACAACCTTGGAACATGTAAAACATTTCAAGGTTGCCATGCAGACAGACCGCCCCATAACTTCTCGGTCTCGGTTATCAAGGAAGGATATGTCGGTACCTCCCAAGTGTGAGGTTGTGCTCTCGCGCCAATTGGACACATCAATCTCATCGACCACATCCGGCCAGTGGGAAAACAAGGGTAGAAAGATCTTTCCCCTTACCCACCGGCCCACACAATGGCATTGTGTCCCTCTACCTCCTTCGAGGGATTTCACAGAGCACATCCGAGCGATTGTTGGTGCACAGGCGTGCAATGTGCGTTTCAGGGGTCGAGTTGCAAGCGCCAAGGGGGGCTGTTGGCTCTCTGATGTGCCATGTTGGTTCTGTGATGTGCCATAGGATTGCATGACATACATACAGTCCCTGAATTGTTGAACCTGGCAAAATCCAATCCCAACAGACTGCATATCTCTTGTCTGCATGTCCCTGGGCTTCTTGGCTCCGAGACACGGGAGCTGCTCTTGTCGCCCGGGGCTCACTGTGAGGAACAAGCCCAGGTTGAACCATCTTCGCGGCTTCCGTCGCCCGTTTTGCGTGTCTGGCTTACCGGCACATCTACTCGTCCACTCCTCTTCAAATCATTCGTCTTCTCGCTCAACATACACACCACGTGAAAATCCTCTGTAGTAAAGGGCGTAGATCGCAGAGGCGAGATTATGATAGTGGGTGAGAAACGGATGCCCCTCTTAAAGACGTCCCAAACGACAGTGTTTCTTCGCTAGTCTCACCTCCGCCGGCTGCCCAGAACCAGTCCGTCCCCATGGATGTGACTTGGCATTCTTTCTGTGACGTTCCAGATGCTTGTTGTGCGTGTTAAGCAGTTGTACTTCGTGTCCTCGGCCACTGTACTGACAGTTCTCGTCACAAAAAAGGTTGTCTTGTCGGCTGCGTTTGCAACACTGCCATTCCTGAGTGCGCAGTTTTTGAGCGTAGAACATCGCTTTAGCAGTAGCTCATCCTTATTGTGCATTTTGATTGAATTGATCGAAGTAAGCGTTAGTCGTGAAATATAGAATTCAAAAATCTAGAGTCGTTCCGGTCAACATATGTGAATTGCTCCCACAGGGAAATTTCAAGTGTCTGAAAATAGCCCAGCTACCATCAAAACCACCGGTGTCTTAGATGGACGACAAGTGGCCACAGCTGACTTCTGTTCACCAAGTCGACGTCTATATATCTGGCTTATGTGGAAAGCTTAGGGTATTAGCTAGAGGAGTCCGCTTTAAAGGCCGGTGGTGTTTTCACTACATGCTTAATGATTATAGATTTTCAGGGAGCTTGTCACCTCCTCGATATATCTGTACATCTCGAAGACATTGGGTGCTTTCGACATGGAAAAGGCCAAACATATTGTTGCAACGACGCGAGGCCAACTTTCTCGGGACAGCCATATTATTACACGCAGATGATTTTCCTCATCGACGCGTTCAACAAAAATTCAGAGCTTCCAAAATTGATTGGCTCAGCAGCCTCGTCTCCCCAAATGCCGCCTTTGAATCACACGGGCTTCGTGTCCTGCGAGCGTGCTACGGTACAGGGGGTAAATGTGGGTAGGAAAAGGCCTAGGGATCTCCCGCGGGCCCGCGGGAAACAGCAACTCGGTAGTTCCATGTCGATGTGAGCGAGTGGAGTTGTGGCGCTTGCTCTGGGATCCATTCTTGAGGCTCAGTCATGTCTTGCCGCTTCCCAAGACGACGCGGTGAGGGACGCGGGCCCGGAGGGAAATTTCATCATGACGAGCACGGAGGCTGGAGGTTGTGACGACACCGTATCATACACGCATGCAGGTCTTGGGCAACCAAGCGAGGCATTGAACATCCGAACAGTTCGCTGAGGCTCCGAAACCAGGCATGTGGCCTGACTGTCACTGTGGTGACCCGTAGCCCGTCCCTTGGATGGATGACCTGCTCCGCAAGACTGATCTCTTTCGGGATTACTTCTTTTGGAACTACCTGCTTTGGGATAACCTGCTTTGGAAATACCTGTTTAGGAGAATTTCGCCTGGGATCATTTATCTTGGGGTTACTGATTATGTTCTAGCATTATGTGGTAGGTATCATGAAATCTTCTCCCGTATGCACATGTACATCGATGGACTAGCAGGTCTTTCTACCTGCTCCTCGTGCTGAGAACATGCGAACATGTTTGAGATTCAAGCAAGCTGAACCATACAGTCAGACCAGTCTATTGCCGATAGCCGCCTGCCCAAGCAGCCCCAACTCGGCCATGTGAACAACCTATATGTCGGTAAATGTCCAGGTGTTCCACTGTGGGACCTATCTACTTCCTCTTCGTAGCACCGCCCGCGCTACCAGACGCACCTGTGGCCTTCACGGCAACCGGCACATCATCCTTGGCCGGGGCAGGGAGCTCCTTGCTGTCCTTCTTTTCCTCTGCGGTGTCCTCGTCTTCACCACCCTGGCCAAACTCGTTCACTCGGGTATAGTCCACCTTGTATGCCCAAGTCTGGTACAGGTAGACGAAGAAGATGATGTCGTCTCGAAAGGTCGCAAGACGGTGTAGCAGCGGCATTTTGATCGTGAAGGCGAACAAGTCGTCGATGAAGGTGTTCAAGAACTTGTACATCATTGCCTTGCCTGGCATGTGAGCGACGCTCTTCAGGCGGTAGTTGATGTAGAGCGAGGGGACCATCATCAAGAAGCCGTAGGCGTAGACGGAGCCCACGAGTGTGGCGATGATGAATGAGTACCACGACTTGTGCTCATCATACACGAGCGAATAGATAGCGTATGCGACCAGCAGCGGGGCGCCAATCCAATACAGATACTTGAATGCAATCTCGTCGTACTCTTTCGTCTTCTCCTCGGTCTCGCTGAGCTTGTGCTTGTCCTCAAAGACTACCTTCTTCGGCAACCATGAGCCAGGTTCCGCATCGCGTACCCTGATATTGACCACTGTCGTGATCTTCCACAGTTCGATGACGATACCGACACCCTGGGAGCCTAGGATCATCCAGCTTGTATTCTGCGAGTTGTCCACGAGGTAGAGGAAGATGACTGTCTGCATGAAGACATTGGCAAGGATCGACCGGACAGAGATGCCAACGTTATCCTTCTTCTTGCGGTAGTGAGCAATGTCCGAACCAAACGCCAGGGTCTCGAGGATCAGATGCGCAATGCTGACCACGATGGTAATACCGAGCAGAATAGGGTTGGTGTCGAGGAAGATCTCCTTGATCATCTCGATCTCGCTGCCATCACCACCACCAGCAACGGGGTTACCAAAGGCAGCTTGACGCGCGGACTCTCTGCCTCCGAGTTCAATGGAGGCCATTACCTGAAACTTCCATTGGGCCAAGTTGTTCAGCTCAATATGGACGGGTAGAGTTTTGACTGTCTCATTGACAAGGTTGTGGTGGCTCTTCAGCTGCCAAAAGCCGTTGGCGAACAGGATAGGATAATACCACGAATTTTGACCCGATCCATCGCGGGCGCCGGTAGGCTCGAGATGGAGGAATTGCCGGATAGCACCGCTGGCGGTTGGGTACATAATGGTGCCAGCACCAGGGACGAAGGACAAGGAGGTGTTGGGGTGATAGTAGTTGCCGACGATGATAGGACCTGTCTCCTCTTCCTCGGTTTTCTCAGCTTCGGTGATGTTCTTGCTTTCCAGTAGGTTGTGGACCTTCTTGACCTTCTTCTTCGGGATGTACTGGGTAAAGGGGTAGGCAAAGTAGTAGGCCTTGGCCGGATCGTAGCCTGGCTGCGTCGGATCGAGACGGGAGTCACCGTGCAGACCAATGTAGAAGTGTCCCCAAAGAGTTCCGTTGTTCTGGACGGCCTTGGGAACTTGGATTGTAGTGTCGACGGAACGCTTCTCGCTCCAATTGCCAATCTTGAAGTCTTGCTCCTTGAAAACCAGCATCTCCTCGGGAGTATCCTTGAGCGGGGTGGGCCTGACAGAGTCCGAGAGTGTGATGATGATGTCGACAACGCTGTCGTCGGGCCATAGCGGTGCGACCTTCTGTGGGACGGGATTCCAAGTGGCGCCTTCGTCCAGGGACTTGGGCCGTAGAGCATAAGGGGGGATGTCGGCGGTGTTCGCGGGGACCTGGACCGTTTGGCCCGAGGCGTCGGTGACGGTCTTGCTCTGCGGAGCAGCTGGGACGAACTGCTTCATGAGGAACTGCATTCCCATGTACATGGCGAGACCCCACCCTATTCTCGACATGAGGGAGGACTAGAAACACCAGAATTAGCATCAATCCTGGCCATCCATACGGAAGGCAGCTCCAGATGGACCACTTACGCCGCCTTCCTCTTGCCGCGCAGCAGGCGCGGCGCCTGCTGCTGCGTCTCCTTCGGGCATTTCGGAAGATTGACTTGTCCTGAGATGTGGATTGATTCCGCGACCGTCAGAGACAAAGTCTAGGAGAAGAGAAGGAGTTCGGGGTGGAGGGGTTTGGGGGAGGGATGGCAAAGATCTGCCCAAGGTGCATTGCGAGAAGTTATGCCAGCAGCCGCACAAGCCACGTACAAGCGGGCATACAGTGCTGTGGAGGACCCAGGACCCCAGATAGAGATCCAAACCAGAGCAGGGGTGCTTCAGGGTGCCGTGTCCCGGCCCAAAATGGCGGCATTGCCTGCCGAAAAGCGCATGGCGAATCACAAACACGCCGACGGGCACGCACTTTCGAGATGCGACGTACCTCACCACATGCTGGGCGATGATGAACTTCTCATCCTCATCTTCTGAGGGCCAATCCATTAGGCACACATCACCGCATAACTGTATTCGCGACACAGGAACGAATATAGTCGCTGGGATTGTCCCTCGGACTTTGCCTCCACCTTTGCCTGCGTCTAGCAGTGGCCTGCCTGCTCATCTGTCAAGTTTGTTAGACGCTGGACCGGAGTTTTGCTGCGACCATCGCCACGTCAGCCGACATCCGTCACTGCTGTGGGCCGGAGGTCTCGTCAACGGTTACAGTATACTACTACCTCACCCATCAGCTCCCAAGACGAGTGCATTGGCAGGTGCCAGTTGAACCTCAAGGTGTCATCGCCATCCATGCCATAACAAGTCACAAGATGGTCTCAACCACGCCGGCCTTCCCAATGATTCAGGCGCGAGGCCAATTGGAACCATTCACGGACTCTCTCTCTTTACTGCAGTCTTCACCCTGATTGCTTTTCCCACCGTGTATAAGACCCAGCGGCGCTTATACTACGCATTACTTGAGTGTGTGGATATATACACAGTATATATCCTTCGTCCCCTCCCTTTTCACCTGTTGGGACAGTCCAAAACTGATCTAACCGAAATCGGTCGTCATCGTGACTTTCTCCCAACCTTGCCTGCCCGTGTAGCCCCTTGGCCGTCTTCGTCATACCTCTCTTGTACTCATCTTCCTCTCGACTCTCGACTCGACACTTGACTCACCAATATCTCCCAATCACTTCTACCAGACGTCACTAGACAGATCCAGCAATTCCCTCATTCTGCAGCTGTGTCCAAAACCTGTCCAATTGTACTACCATCAGCTTCTCACGATTAGCGAGCGCTCACCTCAACAAGAATGGCCAGCACGGGAAACGGCGCATCGGCGCCAGTGCCCGAGACTTCAACTCCTTCCAGCCTGCCCAATGGACACGCAGAGCAGCGGAGGACGAAGATCTGCGTCTACTGCGGCGCCTCTCCAGGTAACAAGCCAGAACACATGGAGTCTGCTCGCCAATTAGCAAAGGTCATGGCAGCCAACAACATCGGGCTCGGTGAGTCAGACCCCTTGCACCTTCCTCACGTCTTGCCAAGTACCTAGGCGCGCTAATAACATTTCCACATAGTGTACGGCGGCGGCACAGTCGGCCTCATGGGCGAGATAGCCCGCACTCTCGTCTCCCTAGCCGGCCCGGATGCCGTCCACGGCATCATCCCCGAGGCCCTCGTCAAGTTCGAGCGCGACCCAACATACACCTCCACCACGACGAATGGGAAAACAGGCGCGGAGCTCGCGATCCCCGAGGAGAAGTTGTTCGGCCGGACGACCGTTGTCCCGGACATGCACACGCGAAAGAGGCTGATGGCGCAGGAGGTGGCAGCTGGCGGGCCCGGGTCAGGCTTCATCGCGCTGCCGGGCGGCTTTGGCACCATGGAGGAGCTCCTGGAAGCGGCGACGTGGAACCAGCTCGGCATCCAGTCGCTCGGTATATGCCTGCTGAACATCAACGGCTTCTATGACGGGCTACTCGGCTGGATCGACAAGAGCGTCGAGGAGGGTTTCATCCGGCCCGGGAACGCCTCCATACTGGTTTCGGCGAAGACGCCAGAAGATGCTATCCAGGCGTTGAGGGAGTACAAGGTCTCCGAGTCGCAGTACAAACTTCAGTGGGGTAATGAGTAGGTGGCGGAGAAGAAGTTTTTGGTTCCTTTACGGCGTTGGCAGATACCATGGTGAAAGTCGAAAGGCAATTCCAGCAGTTAGGTTATATAACGGAAAGGAGAACTCCAGCTCATCTTTAGACTGATACAATATAAAGAAATACACTCATCTCTCGCATCATTTCTAGAAACAAGGCGGAATAGACGGGCATCACTGATTGTATACGCCACTGATGGTTGTTCCATTGTACATTATAGCATTGAACTCATTCCACCGGCGTTTGTCCCGCTGGAGGTCAAATTTCATAAAGGCGTTTGCGATGCTTACAAGCTGTACCATCGGTCAAATCGCATGTATAGGTGCTGGGAAGGTCTATGGTTCAGATTCAGGGCCACGTCCGTGGTATTTTACAACCCCATGGCGTGGCGCCCTGCTTTGGCATTTTTTGGTGCCATTCGTACATCGTCTAAGCTGGATGATCATGCCGGAATAATTATCTGCCGCGCATAATCATGTGAACGTCTCACTCATCCTCACTCGTGTGAGTGCCATTTTTGTTTTCTGGGACAAAGTCCAGGGTCGGAGGTGAACACCTAGCTGTCGACATCCATGCTCTCAGCAGCCGGTGCACTGGGCTCGCCCTCACCCTCACCCTCTCCATCGCCGCCGCCCTCCTTGTCGTCGGCCACGCTGTCGATCCAGGCCTTGACGTCTTGGCCGTCGTGAACCTTGAAAGGCTCGACCTTCTTGATGCCATCCTCCCTCTTGACCCCCACAACACCCACGCTCGTGTTCTCGACCGTCAGCTCCCGGTCCTGCACCAGGCTCTCCTTCAGGGCTTTTAGGCCGTGCTGGATCAGCTGCTCGCTGTCGCACTTCTCGAACTCGTCGATGTGCCGCTCCAGATACGTCCGCGCCATCTGGGATCTCGCGCCGATCGCGAAGGCCACCATCTCCTCCGTCAGGCCGCTGGGCTGGAACTCGAACAGGTGGGGGCCCTTGTCGTCGACGCCCGCCACGAGCAGGCCCACGCCGTAGGGGCGCTTGCCGTAGTGTTGCGTGTTGATCTGGGCCTTCTCGCCGATCATCTCCACCAGTGAGCGCAGGGGCATATCGCGGCCGTAGGTCAGTCGGTGGCCCAGGCATTGCTGCTTCATGAAGTTGGAGAGGACGCGCGCGTCCGAGGTCAGGCCGGCGATGGCGATGCCGACGTGGGAGTCGATGGGGAAGAGTTTCTTTTGGTACGAGGAGAGTTCTTCGGCATTTCTCTGCGGGTGGACGTTAGAATCAGCTCACGGTCGTCGTCATGGGCGTGGGAGAGGTGCGTCGACGGAGCGGTGGTGCGGGTCGTACCTTGATGGCCACGAGCACGGCATGTGTCTTGCTTGCTATTCCCACGACGACGGATCCTTGCTTGACGGCCTCTGCGGCGTATTCGACCTGGAAAATCCGGCCTTGTGGCGAGCTGGAAGGTTGAGTTCGGGTTAGCTAAGCCCAGCAAACAGTCGCGACAGCACCTGGCTGGGATGCCTACAATGTGACCGAGTCGTTGTCGTAGTTGTTTCTGAACATGTTGGCGACTCAGTTATGGGACGGCAGAATAGGATGTCTTGGTCGGCTGACTGGGGGAGGAGGGTCAATCGCGCGAGGTCGATAGTGTGGGCAAGATTTGGGTTGATGTGTGGTCGCGATGGCGATGGCAATGGGTGAGGTCGAGCTCCAAGGCTGAGAGGGATGATGCAGCAGCAACAGGCAGCTCAGAGCTTCGTACCTACCTTCCCGCTGCTGCAGCGGACCCCAGTGACTCGTTATCGCTTATCAGGCTGTGCCAGGGTTGGGCACGTCTGGGGCACGTCTCAAGCGCCGCGCGGCTGGCAAGCTGACCTGGGCCGCAGTAGCAGGAGGGAAGGAGCTCTTACGACATCACAGCCGACCCCACGCACTGCCTGTTCCGACTTCACGACAATAACCTCAACGAACACGCAAGCTCCGGCAGCGGCTCGATACTGGCATCATCTAGAACCGCATCCCTTCACGACGAGCCTTCTATAACCGACCCGTTGACCTGCCCGCCCAGCCTCCCGGCCTCGGCTCGGCCCCCATCCCAGCTGTGACACAAACCTGTCTCCCCAACACAGACGATCAAGATGCCCGCCGCCGGCTTGAAAACGATCATCGCCCTCTCCTTCGTCCTCGCCGTGGGATTCCTCCTGGTGATTCTCTCGTGCGCACTATGGAAGGTCTACTACCCGCTGCTGGTCGTCGCGACCTACGTGATCGCGCCGCTGCCCAACTGGATCTGCGGCCGGTGCGCCAACCCCGACGACTTTGTCGAGAGCTCTGGCGCTGGCGTGATGGACCTCGGACGTTTCTGCACAGGATTCTTGGTCGTCATGGGAATAGGTAAGCCTCCCTACGCCCGGAGAAAAGAGAATCGAGCCCGGCCGACGCTGACCTCCTGTGTGACAGCACTCCCCGTCGTCCTCGCACACTCGAACCTCATTTCCGTCGGTGCTATGGTCATGTCCGTTGCTGGTGGTCTTCTCATCTACGGCACAATCATCTCGTTCGGCATGTTCTTCCAGGAGGAGTCGGAATTCTAGGCGGCATCGGAGTCCTAATGAGCAGGTTGGAGAGTGTTGCATGAACACGACAGAGCCTTTGGCTTAGGCAGGCATGCGATAGAATGGGACGGGATCTACGACCTCATACAACGAGGGAAAAGCCTATGGCGCTTGCGCTTGCGCCATACTGTATCTCTGTACGAATCAAACATTGGTGGGTTTCCTAAAGCGACGCTTTATTCGGGTTTTGGGTTTGGGTGCGGGTGCTCTGGATGGGCCATGGATTTAGTTACCAGCATGAAATGATTTCCGTTTCTAAATCTAGAGTTGAGTCTCTGGTGGCCCAGATTGCCCGTTGAGTCTATGGATCTGTGTCTTCTGTTGAACCGGTTCGATACGTTGAGTATCATGCATCCATCTAGGCCGTCCCAATGCAATTGACGCCTGGCCTCCTGACGCTGAACAGCAAACCTCACCATGCTTCCCTATAGCGCCATAGTCAAATAAAAGCAAAGCCACCCGCCCGTATCATCAAGAAGTTTGGCCGAAAATGCTCAATGGCCGCGCGAGCTTCAAGAACATTTCCTCCCTTTCCCCTTCAGGAGTACTTAGAATAGTCACTGCGCCACCAGCACCAATGTGCCAAGTCTCCTTCTCTTCTCCATCCCTTTCTCCTTTCTGGCACTCGTCGTCCCAGCGAAACATGCTTCTAATAGTGACACTCCAGTCGCCTCTGCCGGAGACGCACATGTAACCGACCACGCCGGAGTAGAGGCTTCTTTCCTTGTCTCCCTCGATTTGCTGTAGGATCTCACAGCTTCTCTTCTTCGGTGCGCCTGTCATGCTTCCGGGTGGCAGGCTTGCCGAGAGCACGTCGAGTCCCGAATAGCGCCCGTGAGGATTCCACTTGTCCGGGTGTGGAAGCTGTCCCTCGACCACCGTAATCATCTGGTAGACCGTCTGGTACTCCTCGACTTTGAGTAGTTCTGGCACCCACACCTGGCCTGCTCCACAGACTCCATGCATGTCATGTCTGACCAGGTCCACGATCATCAAATTCTCAGCTTCCTCTTTCGGAACGTGCAGAATTTCTTCCGCCTCCTTGAGGCTCGTTGCGCATCCTTCCGCGGGTTCTGATGATTTCCTGACGGTGCCTTTCATGGGTTTCATGGAGCATAGGCCGGAGCGACCATATTGCAGGAAGCGTTCTGGTGAGGAACTGACGAGCGTCGCGCCCCCGAGGCGGATGTATGAGGCGAATGGTGCCGGGTTGCGCTTCCTCAGCGTGCGGTAGAGATCCCATGACGTGTCCGACCGCGGATCAGTCTTCCGAGCACTTGGGCCCGATCGTTGAGAGAGTGTAGCACACTGCTCCGTGCGGTGAACCTTCGTCTCGGCCGTCGCGGTCCTCGTGATGTGAGTCTGGTCAGTCAGGCACAACTCATACGAGTCGCCTGCCGCAATGTACTCCTGGCACATGCGCACTTTGGCCTCGTATTTGGCCTGTTCTGGTTTTCGTATCTGAGTCTCCAGCGCAGGCGGCAGCTTGGCTCCTTTCCTCGACTCCGTACGAGGACCATGCTGCCACAGGTTAGAGCCATCCAACTTCGCCGCCACCGAGTTGATCCATCGTGTGTCGCCTTCCAAGTCCTGGATGTGTAGGACTCTCTCCTCATGGTCCAGCACGATTGATTTCGTGGCCCAGGCCAGACACACATCCGGTCTACGGTGTCCTCTCTCCTGACCCAGCGCTATCCCAATACTGCTGAGCCCTTGCTCGTAGGTAACATAGCCGACAAATCCGCCCAGGAATGGCACGTCTCTTTCATGTGGAACACTGTCACCAAGTGTTTCCAAAGACGACCGCTTGCGCCCATGAAACTCGGCCAAAAGGTGCCACACGTTTTCCCCGGGCTGAAACGATACTTTGTGCGAGGGCTGTCCCGGAGAAACGACGCTCATGAAATTGTCTCCTGTGTGACTTTCGATACGCACACACTCGTCGACTTCGAGAGCGATGATGCTGAATCTTCCACGGACGTCCACGCCCGTTTTCGACCTGGGCTGATCGCCGTTCGCGGAGTCAAGTATGACGTGGCTCGTGCCAGTAGACCCCAACACCTCCACGATATCGGGGACTTCTACTCCTGTTTCTGGCGGAATATCGATGCTGGTGGACTTGTACTGAACCTTCCGATCGCTGTCGTAGAGCAGTGACTCCCAGGCATCTCTTCCAAGTTCTCTGTCTGACTCGAGGGCGGCGACTTGCTGAATAAGACTGGGTTTGAAGGCTTTCCTCGCCAGGATGCTGTGTTTTTCCAGGTTGGTGGCCACTCTGTTCTCCCTGTTCCACCGCAAGGCCTGCGCGAACCAGTTGCGGATTACCCGGTTCCCTGCTGCCTCCGTGCAGACAGACTCGGGGTGATATTGTAACCCCCAAAATGGCCTTTGCTGATGCTTCATAGCCATCAAGACTCTCTCCTTATCCTGACCATCTTCCCTGTCCTCTTCCACCCAGGCGAGAGGGGCAATGTTGGAAAGACCCTCGGGTTGATCCCACTTCCGGTCTTGCCAGTCCTTCACGGTGTCCTGCCCCACGTCGGCACAGAGGCTGTGATATAGCGTCGCGTCGAAGTCACCAACACCGTCGAATATGTTGTCACCTCGCAGATCTTCTGCTGCCGAGCGGTGCTCGATCCTCCTAACCATCCCGTGCAGTCCCCTCCTTAGCCTTCGCACTTTGCCGCCACAGGAGAGCACCAGGCTCTGAAAGCCGAGGCACACCCCCAGCACCGGCACCAGCTCATAGTCGGGCAGCTCCCAGAGCCATTTCATCAAGCCCACGTCGGCCTCATTTTGAGGCGACCCTGGTCCTGGTCCACACACCACAGCTTCATAGTGCGAGAGCTCGTGGCGGAATTCATCCTTGGAAATGGCGGTGTCGATGGGGAGGATGTGAACCTCGACGTCCAAGAGAGTAGCCAGCAGAGAGGTTATGTTGTTTGAAAAGGAGTCATAAGCATCGATGAACAACATTCTTGGCTGGTGTGAAGACGAAGTCCGTGATGGCCCCCCGAGCGACCCCATTTTTTCCCCGTTTACTCAACCTAGACTGGCCGGATGACTGAGGGGCCCGATCATGAGATCTCGAACGAGCAATTATGCGGCTCTTCCTATTCTCAAATACGTGATGAGTGCCCGGATTCTCACCAACTTCGTACCAGTCCAAAGTTTGCACAGTCGTGGTAGACAGGAACAAGCAGAAGATCCACATTCGTCCGAGCTGCAGTAGGACGGGACGGACGGGACGGACGGGTCAGGCCCTCGGGATCCTGGTCAGCCGGCCGGTGTCAGCGCCCCGCTGAACTTGCTCTGATCGGATACCGATACTGACAATGCACAAGCTGCGAATTCCCCAGGACTGAATAAGAATGACGAGGCAAGCCAAGTCAAGCCAAGGAGAGACAAAAAGTCTTCGACGGATTGTTAGTCGCCGGCCTAGACCGAGTCTTGCCGAGCCACTGCAGAATGACTCGGCTTCCGGTCCCTGTTGCACGCACATCCCTAACCCTGGTTTGCAACCACTTTCTAGAATGCTTAAATAGCTAAATTTCTTTTATTTCCTCCTTTTAAACTACTCTTAAGAGATAAATGCTTTTATAATTATGCTTTTAAACCCCTTATAATACTTATAGCCTTTTATAATTATAAGCTTAATTTACATAAAATAATCTTTCCTTTTTATAAGCTTTAAATAAATTATATAAAGTATATCTTAATTATATTTATTTTATATTATTTATTTCCTTTTATTTTTAAGTATGTATTTATATAATAATTATAAATACTTTTTTAAACTTTATTAATTAAGTAATTTATTTAAATACTTAACGTGGTTTACCACCTTATATTTAATATCACCTTATGTTTAATTTTTATCAAGTTTGCCAACTTTAGCCAACCCTAGCACCCACCCAATATAAACAATTTAATTAAATTTAGCACTAATTAATGCTAACTATAATTAAATCCTTATTTATAATTAACTTTATTAATTTAAAGGCGTTAACATAGTTATAATGTTAATTTAAATTAATTAACTTTTAATAGGAAACATGCATTTAGCATTATTTAATGCTAACTACACCCTTAAAAAGTTAGTTCGCTATAAACCATTAACACTTATATATTTATATTAATTAATGCTAACTAAGCTAAATTTACTATAATACAATTAAAATTTAATTAAATAAACCCTTCTTTATCTTTCTTATAAGTTCTTGCATTATGCCTAATCTTATTATAATTACCATACCATCTTTTAGTTAATTCGCCGCGAATTAACTCCTCGGCACCATCATTAATTTTATTAGCTAGCCGCTTCCCCTTTTATTTTTCTTAAATAAGAGCATGGAATTCCTTAATAATAAGTGCTTCTTTAAGCTGCACTTAAGTTTTTTTAACCCTTTTAATATTTTATAAGCGCTATATTAGCCTTTTAAAGTATATGAATTTGCTTGCTTATTATAATAAGTAAATGCACTATTATTTATGTACCCTTTATTAATTAATTAATGGCGTTTATAATTAATATAAGGGAGCTCCCTTAATAAGCGGAGATTCTGCTTTTAATAAAATTTAATTGCTAAATAGTTTATTAAGCATTTAATGGTATTTAAAACTTTTATTTTTAGGGGGAAATAAGAAGAAACTATATGGGAGTTTGCAGGTAAATATTAAGCTTAGAAATTATAAAATTAAGGTCTTAAAAGGAAATTTTAACTTTTTTAAATATAAACTTAATGTTTTTTATTATAAAAATCTTATTATAAGCTGCCTTAAATATGAAAAAGAACTTAAACTTAGTAATATGGTTAATAAAGGCTTAAATAAAAAGGTTAATTTAGTTGCTATATACGCGCTTTAAAGGTAAATATAATGTAATGTTTAATAGCTAAAGCAAGTAAGATAAATATAGCGGCATGCTAATAATAATAATCTTATTATCCTTATAATATTAATTAAACTTAGCTAATATATAGCTTTTATAATTATTTATAATTAATATTTAGTAATTAGCATCTTTTTTTAATTTAATATACTTATTAAAATGCTAAATCCATTTTAAATTAATTTTATTATCTATTTATTTATTAAAAGTAGGCTTAATAACTTAGTTATTTAAAAAACCTAACTTTATTATTTAGTTAATAAGATAATAAATGCCTTAAATAATTATAAATAATAGGATTTACAACCTACTTATATTAATGCATTTAATAATAATTACCTATTTTTAATTATTAAGCTAAATTAATTTAGCTTTTTTATATTTATTAATGCGTATAATAACTATTAACATAGCAATTATGCCTATTATAAAGCCAATCTTATTAAAGTTATAAAGGTTATTATTAATAATTTAATACTTAGCCATTATATTACAAAGTAATTTAAATTAATTCTTAATAATCTTTAAATTTTTATAAAGGGCCCTTTAATAATTATAGGGATAATTAAACTTAGTTTTAAGGCTAGGTTATTAATTTATAAAGCGTTAAGCTTAATGCTTATTAATAAGTTTGGCATCTTATAATATTAGCAAAAGGTTAGCCATATCTTTCATATTAAAAAGTTATAAAGGGAATCCTTAAATATCTTAATTAATAATATATTAAATAAGCGTTTGCTTTTTAATTAAGTTAAGTTTATATTATTTAATGCATAATTCTTCGTTATTTCATTAATTATTTATCTTTTTACATAAAATTCGTTTAAGGATGCAATAAATTTATGCAATGTAAGCAGCACTTAAGGGTTTTTTATAATTTTTTTTAAAATCTTAAATAGCTTTAATAGCTAAAAAGATTTAAGATTTATTTAATAAAGGAGATATTTATAATTATTAATTCCTAGCGTATTAATTATTTAAATAAGTAAAGTGATGCAAGACTAACGCAAAAAATAAGAACGTAATCTACATTAAAAACAACCCTATCCATCAAAAGTTAACTACTTTAAACTTTAATGCAACTACCTATATTACTCTAAATTAACAAAATTAATTATAAATAAAGAATTAAATATAGTTAGCACCAATTAATGCTAAATTTAATTAAATTATTTGCACTGAGTGGGTGCTAGGGTTGGCTGAAATTAGCAAACTTAATAAAAATCAAACACAAAGTAATATTAAACACGAGGTAATAAACTACGTTATTTCTTTCTTATTTAATTTATTATATTATAATTTTATTATTAAATTAAAAAGTATTAAAAATTTATAAACCTTAATACATTAAATATAGCCTTTACTAAGTAATTAAATATAATTTTAAAATTAAATTCTTAATTTATATAATATAAAAAGAAAAAAAGAAATATTTAAAAAGCTTTATATAATAAATATTAAAAGTATTTAAGTAATAATAAGCTTTTAAAAGATAAAATAATACTTACTTTATTTTTTCTCTTATTTTTTAATAAATTAAAAAAGAAATATAATTAATATCTTTAATAATAAATTATTTTAGCTTTTAATAAAGTAATTAAATTTAATAAAAAATAAAAAATTTAAAATTAAATATAAAAGATAATATTTAGCTTAATTCTTTTCTTATATTTAATTAAAATAATAAATATAAAATAATTCTTTATTTAATAAATAATTAAAAATATTAAAAATAACCTTATATTCTTTAAATTAAATATAATAAATATCCTTTAAACTTAATATTAATAATACTTAAAAAAAGCAAAAAAATTTAAATATTAAATTATAATAATAATATTAAAACTTTATAAACTTATATTTATAAGCTTATATTTATAAATTATTTAAGATTAAGGAATTTATTAATTTAAATAATTTCTTATAAGTAATTATAATATATATTACCCTTAATTAAGTAATTTTTAAGCATTAAGAATTTATTAAATAAAATATATTAAGAAATCTTATTTATTTCTTAAAAATCTTATTTAAAGAATTAATAGCATTTTTATATTATAATAAGCTTATATTAATCTTTAAAAATATTATAATACTTATTATATTAAAATTAAAAGTATCTTTTAAAATAAAAAATAATTAATTAAAAAAGTAATTAAGAAATAAAAATGCATTATTTTAATTATATTAATAAAATAAAATATATAAGTATTTTTATTAAAGAATTAATTAATAAAAAAAATATACTTAACTTTTTATTAATTATAATTACCTTTATTTTATACTTTTAAGAAAATAAATCTTAAAACTAAAAATATTTATAAGAAAACTTAAATATAATAAAATTATAATATAATTATAAAAAAACTATTATAAAAACTTAATTTAAAAGCTTATTTAAAAAAACCTTTTATTTAAAAATTAAATATAAAGCTTATTAAAAATATTAAAAACCCCCTTAAGTATATTTTTAAAAGCTATTAAAAAATAATATCTTAATTTTCTTTTTTTATTTTATTTTTCTTTATAAAGCAAACTTATATTTTCTTAAACCTTAATTTTAAAGAACTAATTAATTAATAATACCTTTATTATATGTTTATTAATTGTTTATTAATTTATTTATGCTTTAATTAATTTATTATAATTATTAATTATAATTAATTCCTTAAAAATATATATAACCTTAAATTTTATATTATATTTTTTATTTTTAAGTATAATTTTAAATAATTATAATGCTATTTACTTTATTAATTTTATTAATTATTTAATTTTAAGTATTTTTAAAAAAGCTATTAAAATAAATATTATTAAAGTAAAAATCTTATTCTTAAAGGTTTTAAGCTATAAAATAAGGTATTTTAAAAATATATTATATAAAGTAAATAAAAAAAATTTAAGAATTTAATTTTAAAAAATATAATAATTATAAATAAATTTTATATTAATATAATATTAAAAGCGCTCTTATAAAAATAAAGCATTTAATATTATAAAATTAATTTAATGCTATGCTTTAAATTACTTAAATAAAGCATTATTCTTTTTAAACTTATTTAATAGCATAATTTAGTTTTTTTTA